ACCTGGACCCCGGCTCTTCGCAGCTTCGAAGAAGTTGGGGAGACTGTCCTTATGTTTGTGGACCTTTCATTCGGTCGTAAGGCGCTTGGCGGATCGGCTCTTGCTCAGGTCTTCAACGAAGTCGGTTCCGAGTGCCCTGACATTCGCGACGTTGATCTCTTCCGGGACTTCTTCGATGCTACACAGCAACTTCAAGAAGTCGGAGTTGTTTTGGCTTACCACGATCGCTCCGATGGTGGTCTTCTGACTACTCTTGCTGAAATGATGTTCGCCGGTCGCTGCGGTGTTGAGATCATGCTGGATAACATCTGTGCCTCTCACAATACCAAGGATCTCATTGAATGCCTCTTCAACGAGGAGCTTGGAGCCGTCTTCCAGGTCCGCAAGGAGCACGAGATCCTGTTCCGCTCATGCTTCGCCACTTGCGGTCCTCCTCCGGGTCTGATCCACAAGATTGGACGTATCTCTCAACAGCCCAAGCAGAACCTTGCGATCTACTACAAGGCTCTTCTGGTTTACCGCAACACCCGTTCTAGCCTCCAGCAGACCTGGGCCAATACCTCCTACCACATGCAGAAGATCCGCGACAACGCGGACTGTGCGGAGCAGGAGTATGCCAACATCCTTGACGACGCCAACCCCGGTCTTTCTTGGAACCCTACCTTCGACCCCAAGGACAAGGCCTTGCCTATGATGGCTAGCCTTTCTCAATACTCCCCCTTCGCCAACAAGCCCCGTGTTGCCATCCTTCGTGAGCAGGGTGTTAACAGTCAAGCTGAGATGGCATTTGCCTTCAATGCCGCTGGCTTCTCCGCCGTCGATGTCCACATGACCGACATTCTCTCGGGTCGTGTGTCTCTCTCCACCTTCGCCGGTCTCGCTGCCTGCGGTGGTTTCTCCTACGGTGACGTCTTGGGTGCCGGCCAGGGCTGGGCCAAGTCCGTTTTGCTGCACGAGAACACCCGCAAGGAGTTCCAGGAGTTCTTCGAGCGCCCGGATACTTTCGCCCTGGGTGTCTGCAACGGCTGCCAGTTCCTGTCTCGTATCAAGGATTTGATTCCTGGCGCGGGTTACTGGCCCAGCTTCGAGCGCAACACCAGCGAGCAGTACGAAGGCCGTGTCTGCATGGTCCGCATCTCCGACCCCGACCCATCCTGCCCCAGCGTCTTTTTCCACGGCATGGACGGCACTTCGCTCCCTATTGCCGTCGCTCACGGCGAGGGACGTGCCTCATTCGTCAATTCCCAGGGCATCTCGGCTGCCGACTTCGTTCGCGAGGGTCTTGCCCCCGTCCGATTCGTCGACAATTCCACACTCAAGCCCACCATGACGTACCCCTTCAACCCCAACGGCAGTCCTGAGGGTATTGCCGGTGTGCGCAGCGCCGACGGTCGTGTCCTTGCCATCATGCCCCACCCTGAGCGTACCATCATGAATGGTATTGCCAGTTGGTTGCCTCCGAACGCCGAGTCCTGGGGCGAGATTGGTCCTTGGGGACGTGTCTTCTACAGCGCCAGACGCTGGGTGGGTTAGATTTCTTATTTTTATATTTACGGAGCTTTTCTTATCCCTTTTTTTTCTTCTCGTTCTGAGTTCTTGTCCATATTCTCTTTTTGATACTGGAGTTGAACATGTCAAAATAGCCTCTCAAATAAATATAAATTGTTCAATAATATATCTGAATACCAATCCAATAAAACACAACGATAATATCTGTACGGAGTATATATAGAGAACCTGGACCTAAAGGGCCACGGGGAATTCCGCATCGAACGTAAAGACGCCGAGCCTCTAGTGACGACGCTGATAAAGCTGATATTGTATGTATAGTTACCTATCTCGAAAGCCTAGATATACCATCGACTAACAAGCCTTATGGTTCCTATCTAGGCGACCAACAAGGCCTCAGCTGAATAGCCGGAGGTTACATTCAAGTGCCCGCCTCTATCTAGCTGTGAGGAAAGAAGCCTAGGACTTCATTTTGAGACAGATATTCATGCATGTCGTTGAAAAAGTCATTATTGCATCTTCCACTAGTACTTATGTCAAATTTTTAGGTCATATAACGCCAACTCCCCGCTGGAACCAAAACAAGGGTATTTGTATCAAAGCCTACGCCAATTTCGCCGCCATTCGAGCCTGTCGGCAAGAATATCCCAACTTTGCAGCCCATCTGCACGAGCTAAACTTTTCAAGCCATCCGTGACAAAGGTCGTTAGATGGTTGAACTGGTGATTGACCGTTTTCAGCTGCTGGCTATAGGTCGAGTCACGAAATGAGACTGTGAGTGTGTGTTCGTGATCGTAGGCCTCGTTATCATCATCATCTTCATCATCATCAGACTCGAATTCTTCTTCGGGTTTTTTCTTTGTGCGCAGCGCCTTCGGATTCTCCAGATATTGGTCTTCATCGCCGAGCAAGTGCGCGGCTTGTAGATCTGCGAAATGAACACACAGATCTAAGAAATGGATGATTGCATCGTGGATATGTGATAAATCTTCAGAAAGAAGACACTGGGCTTCCAAAGAGGACATGTAGGATTGGTGGGCAGCTATCATGGCATCGACATCTTGTGCGCCAGATAGATCTTTGTGTAGAGATTGGGTTGTGGTGGTTATTACGAGATAGGTCAGATGGCCGTAGATGAGATCGAGGACCCAGAGCATGTTATGATGCAGAGCGTGTACCAATGTGTCCTTTTCGTCAGGTGCGATGATACGGGCGTCGCGAATACGCTGTTTCACAATGGCATATTTAGCGCGCCTGATCTGCATCAGGAAGGTCGAGATTCGTTGGTATGCCTGTATTGCGTCCTCGGTGATTATGTTCGCAATAGGCCACGGGAGGCCATAATCAATTGAGATTGCTTCCAGAATTCCCACGGTCCGATGATCATTTTGAGAAACTCGCAATGAAGTACTAGCAGGCCGCAAAAGGAGTCTTGATACGTCAATGACGGATATTGAACTGAAAGCTGTCCTTGATATCTCAGTGAGCAGGAATCTGTCGTCCCAGGAACGACCCCGATCGATCAACTCAAAGATTTTTGCGTCAACAATGCTGATGGCGCTCATGTCTTTGGCAAGGTAGACATGTTGAAGAGCATCAAGGGAGGTCCATAGTCCGCATTGTTGGTCGAGTTCAGTTCGTAATAAGCTAGCACTGAGTGAATGGTCCACATCCACGAGTTTTTCAAAAGCAGACTCTACTAATGCGGGGAAAGAAAGTAACAATGAAGAATCCTGGCAATAGAAGTCCTCAAATTTCATGGCTTCAATGTCTGGTGGCGCATTTAGATGGCGGAGAAATACCATGCTCTTTCCTGCAGTGAAGACTTTCTGCACACCGGCCTCGAGAAACTGGGGGATCCTCTGCTGCCTGTGGCCCGTATCAAGCACAAACCAGTCATGCCAAAGAGTCCGTGGATCCCCATTCTCACGATTTGTTCGCACGAAGAAAGTGCTGTCCGAAGCATCGACCTGACCTGTTTCCATCCAGAGTCGGATCGAGCTTGAATATGTTTTGAAACACATAAAGAATAGCTCCGCCAGGCGCTGAGACGAACTTTCGTCGCCAAGGGCTTCCAGCATGCATACTAAGTTGTATAACGAATCAAGGCAGCACATTGGTTGATCATTCGAGTTTCTTTCTAAATTGGCGATCATGTCTGCGAGCAATGCTAGCTCATGAGAGTGTTGACGAACGTCAACAAGAAGCTGGATGAGACTGACAGTTGAACCGGGTGAAAGGTATTTGCACTGAACTTGAGATAAGACTCTATCAAATTCAAGAAGACGCTCTTCTAAGCTCCGGCAAAACGTTTGCATATATGGAATTGTCTGTGGAAGCTTGGTGAAATACCGTACATCGTTGAGCTTGGCGCCTATCTCAATGAAACACTGCAAAAGCGATGACAGGGCTTCGCTGGATGAATGTGCGAGTGTGTATCTTCGATCCACTCCAAAATCATCGTCCAAGCGCACGTAAATAGACGTGGGAAGGCCCTGAAGCATGAAGATTGTCTCCCTAGCAAGCTGGGATTCTGTGATAAGTCGTGAGGTGGTTGCTTCTGCTTGGGGCAACGAATGGTGATTCTCGGCTCTCCAAAATTGGGCCTTTTCTATAGAGGCAACAAGATCGCCATCCTCTTCCGAAACAAAAACGTCATCTGGAATGATATACCCTTCATCCACCGTTGTGGCGGATTGAGGTCTGTCCTTAGGAAGAGATACATCACTGGCAACGGATGAAAAGTCGTCATCTGATGAGTCGCCAGCAAAGTCTACTTGTTCCCAAATTTCTTCGTCGCTGAATGCCGTCCCAGCTGCATCAAGGTTCGACCAAGAAAGAGTCTCTTTTGCTTCTGGTGCCTTGGCCCGTTCCTTCGGACGTTTGACCGTTGACAAAAGAGCGGGGCGATCTGAGAGTTGCAATAAGAGACTCAGAATCTCTGGAAGCCAGGGCATCCGGTCGCTCTCCAGCTCCGCAAGGCGGGCGTGAAGAGCTTCAGCAAGTTCATCTCTATTCAAGATTTGAAACTTTTCCTGTAGTCCCTCGAGTTGCTTGGCGACTGCAAACTGGTCGGTGCGCGTATGAGAACCAGTTCGGAGCGCTCCTTGTACACGGCGCTTCAGACTCTGGACACGCGCAGACCCCTACTTAGATATGAGTACACCGGGTGCGACGATATGAGATTGATGGAAATTCAATATATTACCTTGTGGTTTGGTGATATCTTAGCGACAGAAGTGATTAAGGAGTCGATAAGCGTACTCAGATCAGCCGCTAGAGCCATTTTAAGACATTGGCTCGGATCCAAGATCCAAGACAAATCACATCGAGATGTCTCTAGACGGCATAGAGTGAAGAAGCATTGAAGTGAAGAGAGACCCGGCTGTTTTACGTGGATGGCACTAGTCCCGATGAGGTAAGATGGCCACTCTTATGCGCGCCTCTCTCTCTCTCCGGCCATCTCCCCCCTTTAAGCACATACAATCATCATGGCTATCGCGCGTCCGATTCGCATGCTGGGTGCAGCATGCATTCTTCTTTGTCTATTTCTTGTCTTCCAATTACACCAGAGCTCCTCTGAAGAAGGGTCCAAGTTGCCTCATGGCATGAAAAAGGATCCTCTTGTAGATCGTACGTGACCCCAGTTTCTTGCCACACCTCCCACAACCATCGCACTCTAAGTGCCATACTAACTGATTTTATAGCGACCGGCGAACCGGTAGGAAACTTATGGCGAGCGGATGAACACGATTACTCCCCCAACAGCGAACAATCGGCCCGCACCAACGCTGCGCTCATTACCCTCGTCCGCAATGAGGAACTTGGTCAGCTGCTCTCGACAATGACCGACCTGGAGCGAACATGGAACAGCAAGTTCAACTATCCCTACATCTTCTTCAACGATGTACCCTTCACCGATGAGTTCAAGCAGAAGACTCAGGCTATGACCAAGGCCAAGTGCCAATATGGTACGCATTCTAGTCCGGATAGAACGAGAGGAACCAAACCTAACTTGATATGCAGAACTTGTGCCCAAGGAACACTGGGACGTACCAGAATGGATCAATATGGACCTCTTCCGCGAGTCGGCAAAGCTTTTGGAGGAACAAGACATCCAGTACAGCTCCAAGGTCTCCTACCACCAGATGTGTCGCTGGAACAGCGGCATGTTCTACAAACACCCTGCCCTCGAAAACTACCGCTACTACTGGCGCATCGAACCCAATGTCAAGTTCTTCTGCGATGTCGACTACGATGTGTTCCGTTACATGGAGGATGGCAACAAGACCTACGGCTTCACCATCAACCTGTACGACGCACCGCAGAGTATCCCGACCCTTTGGCCCGAAACCCAGCGATTCCTCGCCGCCAACCCGTCGTACCTCAGCGACAACAACATGTGGGAGTGGATTACGGATGACGTGGCTCGTCCCGAGCACACCAAGGCCGCGAATGGATACTCCACCTGCCACTTCTGGTCGAACTTCGAGATCGGTGATCTCGACTTCTTCCGCGGCGAAAAGTACGAGGCGTACTTCCAGCACCTGGATCGCGCCGGTGGATTCTTCTACGAGCGCTGGGGTGATGCTCCCGTGCACTCCCTCGGCATTGGTCTTTTCGCCGATGCCGCCAACGTCCACTGGTAAGTCACATACTTTTTATCTCATTTAAGAACCCTCACTCACATGTATCTCCACTAGGTTCCGCGATATCGGGTACAACCACATCCCGTATCTCAACTGCCCCAACTCTCCCAAATGCTCCGGTTGCAAAGCTGGCCAGTTCTTCCAAGGCGCAGACTTCCTTTCCAAGGAGGATTGCCGACCTACTTACTTCAAGTATGTTGGAACGCACTAATTATCATGGCGTCCCGTTTGAGCTGTTCTCTCGTCTCTTGTCATTATGGAGAGTGCCTCACGACTCGATTCTTGCATCACCTTGCATACCCCTATGACTTTATTCCTGAATATCAGTGGCTTGGTACCCGGCGTTTGAGCGGACACATACCTGTGTGTATTGATGATTTTGTGTTCCCATTTTTCCCTCCCTGTTTTTGATTTAATTCCCTTGTCACGAAATACGTTCTTGGCTACGTTGCTGTCTTCTGGAGAGCTACGGGGGCCTTGTCTACATTGTACTTATATCGCTTGGGCATGGTCATTGGTGGAGGCTCTGTTTATTTCGGTCTGGTGCCTCTTGGCCTGCTTGTTGCAGTTGTCATTTTGTGTGATATATTGGCTACTTAGGAACAAAACCCGAGTCCCAACCCAACCTGGCTATTCTACTATTTTACTGAAGCAATAGACCTTGGATAAAGTATAAAAAAGTTGATAATTAAGGAATGAGGATTGAGGATCGAGGACTGAGGACTGACTTGAGCGATTGATAATACAACAATGCAGGATGACTGAACAAGGTGGAATCAAGATAGATTAAGCACCAACCAAATAAGGCACACAAGACCTTTTTCCATACAACAGCAGCACTAACAACACGAGAGATCTCTAAAGTATGTATACAGTTTTCTCTTCTACCCGACCTAATCCTCAGCCAGTCAATGGCTGAACAACGTGCGAGGGGGTACTGTTTGTTTAAGAGAAAATTGACGTAAAAGTAGAATTGATGAGGGGAATTTACGCCTCCTCGGGGTAGAGCTCCTCCCGGAGAGCGACGCCCAGCTCGACGCGCAGACCCTCGAGAGACTCGAGGTATTGCTTGTACTGGTCGGGGTTCTCGACCTTGGCCTTGACGCCTGATCACGAAGGAATGTTAGCTTGGGTTCCACGACGAACGAGACTAGTGCTCCAAGATAGGATGTTGCGGAAGCGTACCCTCGAAGACGCGAACAGCGGTAGGGAAGTCGTTAACACGGCGGGCGGCCTTGAGGGCGGCGGTGAGGACCGCGACGGAGGGAACAAGATCGTAGGCGAAGCAGTTGTTCAGGTTGCGCTGTTTGCAAAGACATGCATTAGCCATTTGTCGATGGTGCGGATATAGGAGCCGCATGTTGAGTGACGGGTGTGGCTGATGCCATGTATCGCACGCCGATCAATATGCCTCGGGTGAAGTCGAGATAAGTCATACCTGGAGCTCGAAAACGTCCTGCACACCATCAAATTCCTTCTCGAATCTGCCATTGGGATACACGGTCAGCATGAGACGGCCCTATCATGTCGAGACGATTGCCGATGGTCGTTCCGGGAAGCGCCTAACATGGAAATGCAGGGCGCTGGTGTCCCCCTCCTCCGGCCTCAATGGCTTGCGATTGGGGGCGTACCTGGCAGTGAACTCTTCGTATGTCTCATCCTCGTGGCCGGAGCGGAGCATGGAGGTAGTACCGAAGTTGTGGGCGCGAGCGGCGGCCAGAGTCACCGGAGACTGCATCCGGGACCGGGTCAATTGGGGAGCTCTGAAGGAGCCGGTAGAGCGAGCGGCGCGGGTCGCCACGCGGAAGATGGATAGGGACGACATTTTCAGAAGGGAACCACGGTGGACCGGACAGGAACAATAGTGAGGGGAGAGAAGTGGATGGGGGCGGGAAGGGGAGGTGTTGAAATGCCTCTAGGATTTTGCGGGTGGTGTGGTGTTGGCGCCTGAGGCAGCTGCACGGGTGCTGAGTCATCATCCGATTGGCCCCGTTCCAGTGTTCTGATCTCTAAGGGTGGCCGTTGATTGGCTGGAGAGTTGTCGGTTTCTACATGCGTGTCATTGGTCGGTGTTAGGCCATGACAAGTCGAGTTCGTATAAGGTTGTTGGATTTCTTGTTCATATTGTAAAGATATATAACATACCATGATGGTAATTGATATTCAAGATATATTGTGACCCGATTGTTGTGCAGACCAGTAGATAATGATTCGAGCAATTAACCCCAATATTTATCGATTGTAAATCTCACAAACTCAAGGAGGTGGGCAAGAAGATAATTCGACTACATACATGAGTAATAGTAATATGAGTGGTGGCTTCCGAGTAGAGAATAGTAAAGACTTCGGGTTATTATAGCCGGCAACATCTGAATCGAAGACCTTAATAGCACGTGAAGATAGAGGATTGACAAGTAAACAACGTAGATATTAATCTAGACTTCTTTAGTCGGATATGCTCTATATTCTGTACTGTGAAGGCGACACAAGGTAGAATAAACGACCTCTATTACTCCGTACCCCTGTCCAAGCTACTGCCAATTGAAAGCTTCTAATGGTAATCAATTGTAACCCAACGACAAATGACTGGATTTTCAATGCAACGCTTCGGATATGGACGTGGTTAAAACGGAGACTGGAATCATAATGCAGCATTAGCTATACAGAGTAAAGTGGTCAATTGGGGCTTTTATACAACTCATTTCTTTGTATAATATATAATGCGCTAGTTGTTGGCATTTACACTAGCATGTGATTGTTTCACACCAAGGACAACATTGCATTCGGCAACACAGTACTCTGTACACTATATTGTGATCTGGGGTATCATGAATCGCAATTAGATCTAATTCTAATAGATTGAATCTACTAAATATTAGATATGTTCGGACAATATATCCCCAGTCGATCCCACCGGGACCTGATCTTCCCCTTTTTTATGGCACGCTAAACCCTTTTGGGCCCTCAACGGACGCGCCGGACGCAAAAAGTCACTGTTCTCTTATTTCTCCAGCTTTCTCCCTCTCTCCTCTTCCCCTTTCCCACTTTCGTTTCTTTAGCTTTCTTTCATTTCCTTTCCTTAATTTGGCCTTTCTTTGTTTTGGCGGTCCATTGCAGTCCCATTACTGCCCCGTCAAGAAAAGAACAGGTTGCCTTCCCGGGCTATCTCTATCTTCAATTCTACATCCATTTGGTTTGAGAGAACAACCCAATACCCTCACAATGGCATCCGAAATCCTTAAATATGTCGATGTCCCGACTCTCGATCGACCCTTTGGTGTGCACCTGTGGCCCCTCTTCGACCAGGCCTACGAGAAGGTCATGGGGTATCCCGCCAGCGAGTTCAACTTCACCGAGGGTGTGACCCCTCTGTCCACCTTGAAGGAGACTACAATGATGCTTGTCACCTACTACGTTCTCATCTTCGGTGGCCGCGAGGTGATGAAGAAGTTGCCTGCGTTCAAGCTTAACACCTTGTTCATGATCCACAACCTCCTTTTGACCACCGTTAGCGCTATCTTGCTGGCCTTGTTCATCGAGCAGCTTCTCCCCACTCTCTGGAGACACGGAGTCTTCTACACTATCTGTGATCAGCAGGGTGGTTGGACTCGCCCTCTGATCATTCTGTACTACGTAAGTTGCGAAGCGCTTGAACCGGGAGAAGATAAACTCACAACTTCGATTAGCTCAACTACATCAACAAATACGTCGAGTTCATTGATACCATCTTCCTTGTCCTCAAGAAGAAGCCATTGACCTTCCTCCACACCTACCACCACGGTGCCACCGCCCTCCTCTGCTACACTCAGCTTATCGGTGTGACTGCCGTGCAGTGGGTGCCTATCACCATCAACCTGCTTGTCCATGTCGTGATGTACTGGTACTACTTCCAGAGTGCCCGTGGTGTTCGCATTTGGTGGAAGAAGTATATCACTATGCTGCAGATCCTCCAGTTCGTCATTGACGTCGGTAAGTCGTTGCAGGCCCGGAACCTGCAAATAATAGAATACTGACACTTTCAGGCTTCATCTACTTCGCCTCGTACACCTACTTCACCTCTGCCTACTTCCCGTGGCTTCCCAACATGGGCAAGTGTGCCGGTGAGGAATTCGCTGCCTTGGCTGGTATCGGAATCATCAGCTCCTACTTGGTCCTGTTCATCTCCTTCTACATTGCCACCTACAACAAGACCGCCAAGACCGGACGTCCCCGCCGCAACACTGGCCAAAAATCGTTGATCGACATGAGGAACTTTGAAATTCCTTCCCCGGCCGGTACCAAGAGCGCCAAGTCCACTGGCCGCTCCAACGGCCCTGTGACACGCTCTCGTAAGGCCTAAATAATCAACCGAAGGACGTTCGTGTTTGAATGTTTTCGTGTGATTGCAAGAATCGCGCTCAAGAGTTTGATTTTTGAATCATCTTAAGATGAGCCATTGGATCCAAAGTTCATCCAATGCTTGTGGCCAAACAAAGCAGAAGTGCAGAATGGCTGCTCTAGGGTGATGCATCCCTATATTTGTTTTAATGAATGACCACCTCATGATGCCAGGTTCCATCACACCCGGGCATGGGGTATGTGCCTCGGAGTTGTCGGAATGCGTGCGCCAAAACTTTTGTCGGAAACCCTACAAGGGGAATGCTGTTGGATTACCCTACCCAGCGGTCTCGCCATGGTTGTATTTTATAATGTCGCTTTTTCTTCTTCTGTTCATGTTTGTCGTTACCACTCCCCGTTTGGTGACAGGCCATTGGATTATACCTTTCGCCGTTATTGTTATTAAGTATTGATTGATAGACGTTAGCTCAAAATATCAAGATAAATGTAATCATGTTTGCTGAAATAGGCGATAGATTGGGTATATACCTTGGTCAGATACCGAATCGCTGGTTCGCATCTCCATCTAGATCCGGTCTGTATCTCAAGAGACAATAAAGCCGAACCGCAAGGTTATCCAGCTCCATTTTGCCTCGAATATTGAAAGCCAAACAAATACCCAGCCTGTTGATATGGCAACAGAAAGGTTATATACAGACTCCTCTAGCACAATGTGCGGTATCACACTGAAGACTGCACGGAAGAAACAAAAAAAGCAGGAACAGGAACCGCCAGGTGGAGCTTAGATGCGCAGATCATGGCCTGTGCGACGAGGCACAAACAGCGCCACGAAAGTGATGTATCGCATATGCCCCAGGTAACAGGGCGATCATTGACAATGCGTCGAATGGAGAAACGGGAAAAGCCGCAGCCTCGAGAGAAAACCAAAGACTCGGACTCGAAAGGCGAAGAGAAGAGTAATGCAGGCTATATCCAGCCTCCGGGGTTGAAAGAGCGGTGCCAGCCATCACGTCGCCCAGCAAGCCCAGCCATTGATATAATGGGGGCGCAGGTTCAATAGACCAGCGCAAGAGACAAAGTCAAAGGCGGGAAACTGTGGATTTATTTGCTGATTGCCTATTCTCGTCGAAAAGTTACGAGCGCCTTGCTTGGATGTCATGCGCGTGGTTTATTCGGAGACTGGATGGACATGCGGGGCTGGATTTTGCCGTCGGAGCATTTATGCCAATTCGAAATAGAACAGGGAAAAAAAGAGCTTGGATATGCAATGGTGGCCGTATTGACGTTAGTGAAGGTCGGCCCATGAAGTTCCGCTGCCCTGGTCAGATTTGAAACGCTTTGAATGTGAAGACGGAGCTATGGCCGAATCCTTTTAGCGTCAAGACCCACTGGGTACAGGGTTGGTTGGTCTGCAATTAAGTTGAAGCAAATGTCAAGAGTTTGACGTGCAGAGGCTTGGGTTAAAGTGTATGCATAAAATAGGGAATATTGAGTCCTTGCCGGTGCATTGGTGTATTTTTATCGTACAACATAGATGGTGATATGGTGATATGACGATGTATGATATCTATGATAGACGAGAGTTAACTAGCTGTAAGGAGAATATAGAGGACCATGGCTGTTCAGCGTCACCATTCCAATCCTTCAGTGTTGGGTATAGCCCCTGAGTTCTTGAATATACCAACGCCAACCTCAAGCCAACCCCCCTCAAGGTCAGTTACCCCTGGCATCTTAGCAAGGATAATTTTCCGTTCACTGAAGTCCCTAAGTGCGTTTGAGTTATACACATGGCCCCACTGATTGCCTGTTCCCCCACTATCGGCCATTCCACAACTGTTCAGGTCGAGTAGTTCTAGGGAATGCTTCGAGGGACATATGTTTCATTCGGCCCTTATTCTCCTCTTTGCCACTGTGTCGTACTTCCTTGATACGAGTTCTCGTCTTGCATAATCTCTCAAGCCCTAAAACCCTGATACGCAGAAATGCCCAATCATTGAACAAACGGGGGATTAGGTGCATGTGCCCTAACCAATAGCTCATAGTGATCTATCAGATGTCTTTTTTAATTTATTTCCCTCAAAGTTTCAATTCAGCCTTCCGGCCACGATATCCAGTGTAACGCGTTCTTCCCCCTGCTGAAACGAGCGCCATCCCGCCCTTATTTTCCCCCATGCAAGGGTGAGACACCAATCACAATCCCTCCTCAACCCTCTTCAAGGTTCACTACGCGCTGAACTAGCAAAGCCAGCAAAACCAGCAAATTCAGGGTTATTGAACCTTTCCACTTTCTGCACGTGGATGTCGTACAGGGTCATGGCATGGATTGATGACCCTGGATGCCTTTCCCTGCTACTTACTCCGTACGCCGTACGCCGTATATTGGCTTGATATATGCATCCCCTGCCCATAGCTCCTTGGTCCCACTCCGGTCCACTTCCTTAAAGAGCCCTTTTGTCGCCCTGGTGGATTTTTGGATCTCCTTTGCAGCTGTGCACCTGTGGGATACTTGACAACTATTACGTTCCGTTCCTTGGGCCTCCTTTTCATCCTGGTATTCTCTAGTTGAGGGTCTTTTTAGTCTTACATTTCCCTTGACTTCGGAACGGTCTGTACTTTGGAACAGATACTCTTTCTTCCTCTGCTCTATGACCGATTACAACTATATCACTGCTGGGAACATGTTCGGACCTACTCCCTCACTGAGTCTACACCGCTTGAGCAGGCATAGCATCCAGGATCGATACGAGTCAGATGAGGAGGCTGTCTCGGAATCCGACACAGGCACCCAGGATCTATTGTCCTCGCCTGTGGGCTCACGAGTCGGAATCTTCGATTCAGATCTCAGTGCCGACGAGAATTCTCACAATGACCCTGATTCTGATCGGGATGAACGTATTCTCGCTCCGCCAGCAGTGAAACGGCCCCGGCCCGTCTCTTCTGCTACCATCAAGAGAAACAGCAATGCCACCTTCGACGAAGATACGTATGTGTTTGATCTGGAAGACCAGATGTTTCTCGAACTGCCACCCTCAGATTCTCCGCCACAACTGGCATCCAGCACTTTTTTACAGCCATCGATATACGTCTGGCCCAAACCACCCCAGCCATCTAACTCAAGGTCTCGCTCTGTTTCACCCTCGTCGGTCTTTTCCGTAGAGGAAGCAGACATCCGAGTTGCAAAGGAGGTGACTATAATGGAGCCCCGGACTCGTCCTACAGTGGTCTTGATCAAAGCCCTAGGCCCACGGTCCAAGACCTCAAAATCTCGTCCTCATTCCCGCTCCAGGGAAAGCAGCCGCAGCCGCTCTATGCTTGCCAGGACCGACAGCCGCCGACTTACACTGTCACGCTCGTCAGACCCAGCCAAGTCACCACGAGCATCCGAGAAAAGAGCCACCACGAAGCAGGCGCCCAAGTCAGCAGAAGATCCCCACCTCTCACCCAGCGCAACCATAGACCGCATCTCTGAAATCCCCCACCTCTACTTCCCAGCACCACCACGCACCCTCCCAGCCCAAGACTACCGAACCCGACCACGAACTCAAGGCTCCGACAAAGCAATGCCTCCACCATCACTAAACCTGCACGTCCACCGACCCCCCTCAATGCGCAGTACAAGCAGCAACAGCGTCTCCACTTACACCTCCCGGCCAACAACACCCTTCTCCGCCGACGGCAAACCCAACAACTACAACTACATTGACGCACCCTCACCCTCCCCCCTCACTAGGGCCTGCAGCCCGGCCTCAATCCCACCAACGCCCTCATCGCCATACATCTCCAAGCGCAGCGGGTCCTCGACATACAGCGTGTCGAATATGCTCACAAGCCGCTCGCCTCTGATGATGCGTCGCATGACGAGGAAACACTCCGCCTCCAGCGTTTACTCGCTGAGCAGTCTGCGCTCCGAGGTCGGCGTTAACGGTCCCTCTTCCTCGCAGATCTCTGTCGCGACACAACCCACCCCGCCTCCCACTGCTGACAGCCATGTCGTGCGCAAATCCAGTCAGCGTCGCCATGCGCGGCATAATAGTGTTCTGCCGAGTGGGAGGGGTTTTATGGGGTTGAAGCTGGGGAAGAAGTCGCATAAGGCTTAGAGATTGGGGGTTTTGGCTTTTTGATTTTTTGATTTTTGCTTTCTGGTACTTAACATATATTGATCTGGTAATGTCTTTATGGGGAATCTGGCGTATGGCTTGGGTTTCTGGGGTTTGTTCCGGTGTTGTTTGATATTGGGCCTTTTTTTAGCTGGTTTCTTTCGGTGGTCGCTTGTTCGTTTTTTTTTTTTTCATGTCTTTCCCCTCTCATCTCTGTTTCTGATCGGCTAAGCTAATGTATGACGGCCCTTGACTTGGGAAAGGGCAGAATCAAGTATTATTCTGGGATGGCTAATGTCTTCAATTTTTGGCGCATGGTATGCGATTTTAGGATAACTATTGGGTAGTTTAGTTACATAGCTATCGAGACTTCTATCAGATGCAGTCTGATATTGGAGTCTATCTATACACCCTGAACACAATGATCGTGTTCTACAATAGGTATCTTATATCCTCGGAACCGTCATATCCTCAGCTCATATACTCTAGGATGTGGAGAAAGATGGTCTTTAATCTCTTTGCAAGCATACACATAGAGACAGACTTCTGGTCTCCCATCATTTCCGTAAAATGCAAGCGATACCATGCGTTGGAGGGAAATTACATGTCTTGCCAGCGTACAGGAAGCTTAGCAAGGGGTACTGTACCGTTTTTTTTGGCAGTATAGACCCGAGAATCGGGTTAACGAGCTGGATGCAGATGAATTCGATAAGTGCGAATATTGCCAACTTCACCTCGAGTTGGAGATGTGCTACAACATATACCTACTCTGCACAATATAAATCGAGGAGAGTGATAATGCGAGGATTTCGTGTTGCTGTGACCCACTCCCCAATCGATCCGAGACCGGAGGTTTTTATGTCCGCTACGTTGTACAATTGTCCGCTGGGGATTCGGCCGAGAGTCCCCTAAGGCATTTCGCCGTAAACAAGGAGCAATTCAAACATAGCATGTAGTTATAACAGGACTGTGGATTTTAGTGGGAGCCTACTTCTGCGCCTCTAGGGCGACTTTGATGGCTGTTAAAAATGAATTAGCACTATTTCAGGGATAGTAAGAGGCACAAAACCTCCTCCCACGATGAACAGTCTACCAATGCCGACCAGCTAAGAGTAGAGTATCGAAGGTCTGTGCACGCGAGCTTCGGGGAATGCGATCCATTGCAAAGGAGGTCACGCCACGAGCCGTAAGTGCCTCGACGAGGGACTTGTTCTGGAGGGGATAGATAAAAGAAATAACGGTCGAGACTTTGCGTAAAGATGTCCCTATTAATATGTCGACTCTTCTTCTCTGGCTCTGGGTCCGAGTCTGAGTTCGACCTCCATCTCTAATCTCTCCTTGCCATATGGTTCGTTTCGTAGCGTCGCTATTTGGTCTGTCCCAGGGGGAAAGTCCGACTCGAATATCGGCTCCCCGGCCCCTCGCATATTAGCGAGCACGCTTTGCCGGAAGTGCCATCTTAGGAGCTCGTCCGCGACATGGTTTTGGTCGTTTGGATCCCGGCAGATCGGTTCAAGGACTCTTCCATCAATTTTAAAGGTGTCTGGTAGAAATGCGATAATCTTGTATCCGCCCTATCTCCTGTTAGTATCTCTGTATAGGGACTTGCTTAGGATACGATACGTACATCGGGGTTGATAGAAAACGCATACTGATCAAAACAATTGTGTAGATTCGAAGTCATCAGTAAACCGTTTTGAACAGGGTTGAGCTTCGAAACATCTGTCGTATGGTCCATATTCGTTATCCAACGCCCGAAGTTATACTCAACCCATAGACCCTCCTTCTCTAGGGGGAATATATGGGCAGCTTCGAAGCCAGTCCACCAATCCGACTGCGCAAGAAGGTTGATCGTGCCGGAAATAACGCATCTCCCGTCTCTCCGGCCGACCTCAGTGCGGAATGACTCTTCTTGACCTGAATGATTAAAGCTGCTGACGTGACGCTTCGTCCGTTACTGTAAGAGTTCCTAGTCAAACTATGAGCAAAAATAACCGTATGCTATACGTGAAGTCTTGCCATCACAAGAAATGTCATAGTCGCCAGGGACAACGCAATTATTCGATGGTGCGATAATTCGACCGGATGCTCGATCCTTTATCGTGAGATTCTCCGCCGCAACGAGCAACACGTTCTCGAGAATCCAGATCAGATTAGCGTCCGTTACGGAAACCAGCTTGAAAGAAACTTCCTAGGAGCTGTCCGTTAGACGCGTGGTAGAAATAGACATTGCGAAAATGACTCCTGACTAATGACATGGTGGGTGTTTAACAGATGCAGATCTCCTAAGGGATTGACATAGTGATGAAGGAATCGATGAGGGCGAACTTGATGTATGAGGTAGGTATGCGATAAGGCAACGATATCAACACGTGACATTATGCCCAAAATATAAGACGTTGATTCTTCTTGGAGGTTACGAAAGGAAAGATGTTGGTGTAGTACTGTTGTGTATAGAGCCACGTGCTTGATCACGTGCTAGCATAAACCAGTGATCTTGATGCCTGAATGCCTGAATTTCCGGATTTGTAACTATGGGATCAAAAGCTTCATTTTATGCAGGGACCACGTACATTGTTAAAATAGATGTTTCTCGAGGAGTTTTTTGGGTAATTTTTTGGTAGTCTTTTGAAAATATAACAATTTTAAATAGCTATAAATAGCTAGAGCATTATATAGTCTAAGCCCGAAAGCTCTCTACTGCAATCTCTAAGGCATTATGTGCCCGGTGATAGGAACTGGTGGCCAGTTACAATTCGCACTCCACATCATTGACCACCACTCGTTTCACCATGGTCAGTAGAGCCAACTTCATCCACGGTCGCCTGGACAGCGCCCTTACTATCAATAAAGTGAGTGATGCGGTCTCGAGGAAGCCAAGCACTCTCGGGCATCATGACGTAGGAGATCAATGCGAAGATGGTGACTCCAGCCATGATAATGGGGGCGTCTATCAAGCAAGTTAGTTAGCGCGATAAAAATTTATAAGAAAGAACATCTTACAATTCAGGTTCTCCCCAGTGACTGGGAACACGTAGGGCGAGAATAGGACAGCGACAACCCAGCCGTTCCAGAAGACACCAATGAACTGGAACGGCTTACTCCAGCGGCCGAGACTCCACTGTGGCTTCGGGAACCGCGACGGAGTGCAGAATAGTCGACCCAAGCAGATTAGACCGTAGGCGGCAGCGCTGGGGACACCGGCTGCCGAAACAAGGGAAGTGAAAGCCGTGGCGGATGGAAGAATGGTGCAACTGACTAGGGCGGCAACAACCCAGACAACAATAACTGCGTTCCGTGGCTGACCGTCCTTTACACGAGAGACCCAACCGGAGAATGGGAGTACACCATCACGGGCGACCGCGAAGACAAGGCGAGAGGCTGCGATGATGGCAATTGCGGTGTTCTGAAAATAAAAGTCAGTTATGAGATATTAGATATTCGTACGCAAAATGATAGCTCACCAGCCACAAAGCGAAAATGCAAATGATGTTCATGAAGATATGGCCGCCCTTGCCTAGAACAACAGCGTAAAGAGGCACAAAGGGTTGGGGCCCACCGAAGCCCATAAGTGTGTCGGCGTCGGGCTATAGAAAAACCAGGTCAGAATTTCGAATTTCGGCATTCGCAGAGACTACGGGAGACGAACCGCGCAGAACAAAAAGAGAATAATGGTAGCCAAACCACCGAACCCACTGGCAACGGTACTCCAGAAAATACCACGCGCAGCAGTGATCGACGCATTCTTGGTTTCTTCCGCAACGTGACCCGAGGCATCAAATCCAATCAGAATGCCAGCGGTAGCAAGATAAGAAAGACACCAGTTCCAGCCAGCCGGGGCTCCGGTACCGTTGTACGTGGTCATGAAGGCCTCGTGTGTGGTACGGAATCCCCAGGTTTGAGCGGTGCCAATGGGCAGCCAGACAATGTTCAGGATAAAGTCGAGCATCACGACTGCGGAGGACAACCAAAAGACATATCTGAAATAGCGAGCTAAAATGCTGTCAGAGGTAGTGAATCAAAGTTACGCGTTTGTACATACGAGGCAAAAAGTTCAACAGGGCGGCCAGAGCAAGCAAGATCTCAGTGCAGATCCACTGAACTGCGCGGAACTTGACGCTGCTTGCGTCTGATGGGAAATCGAGGTTGAATACGGTTATTTCCTAAACGCAATGTATCAGTCTGAATCCCAGGAAACCAAGAAAAAAAAAGCATACCGCAAGCATGTAATTCGCCGCAGCCTGGGTGTTGCCTATAATCAAATTAGCACCATGTAATCCTTGTCTTAAGGTAGATACGCAACATACTTGCACAGAAAGTCGTCCAAGCCGTTGTACTCCACCAGGCGACGATAAAGCCAAGCAGTCGGCCAAATCGAGGCCCACCAGCTTCGGCGGCCCACAAGTAGATTGATCCAGCGGATGGAGAAGCCGAACAGACCTCAGCGATGACAGCAGCAGTAATGAACGTGAATACCATGGTTACTAGGTAACTAGTCCAATAGGCCAGGTTTCCACCGGCGGCAATACCAGTGCTGAAAGTAACGCGAACACCGCCAACAAAGTAAAGAGCAGCTGGATAGAGTCAGTATAAATGCGCCCATAAAGTAGTGACAGCGAAAAAGGTACCGAATGTGGTTGAAAAATTCTCGAACAAAGTGTATGTCCGATGAAGAACCTGTTTAATGAGTCAGTTGCTGATCATGAAATATCTTAATCTACACGACTCGACGTACCGGCTTATAGCCCATAGTTTCCTAGAAGATTTCATGTTAGTTTGATGTTTACAAAACAAGGCCTGGATACACCTACCAGCAAAGCGGTATCATCCTGTTTCTTGAGCTCAGCCCGGTCACCTTCACCTTCATGGGTGAGGAGGTCGGCGGAACCGGCGACAGGGTCGTGGGAAGCCATATCTGAACAACAGATATATAGGGAAAAGGAAGAACCCAGGTGTCTGTATTTTCTGGATTGAGAAGAGATCAGAAATTTTGAGGATAGACTTTCCAAGGTTCGTGTTCGTCCTGCGGTCAAAACGTTCGCAAATGCTCCACCGGGAATATTAGGAGACGCCACAGCCTTAAGTGGATTTGATTTGATGACTACAGATGACCTAGTTGGGTAACTGGTTAAGTTATGAGTACAGTAATTTATCAAGTGTATTCTATATTATTATATGCCTGTCTTGATCTTCCTTGAAGATTATTAAATTGCCGCGCATCGCGTAAGATTAAAATTTTTTGGATTAAGTTTCAAAGAGGGTCCAATATAACCTTGGAAGCTCGGAGCTTTCTGATCCGTCGAGCTTGACTTGTTTATTAGGTAGTATATACTCTGGGTCTTGGGGGTTTAATAGAGAAGATAGAATTGTAAAAGCTATCAGTAATTATAATAATCTCCGTACACAGCCGCTTCCGTTACACGGACTAGAAGGCCGTTTTTGGTAATTGTTAGCCTCGTGGCAGATGTTTCACCCCTGAGCTAAGACTACTAGCTTGCCTTGTGAAATGGCGATATATTGTGTATGTTGTACATATTTGTCAAATACTGTCGTTATACCAGTTTATGGTGCCACACAGCTCGTGGTCATACCATTCGCACCGGGGTGAAAATGAATGGCAGGTTAGCTCCCATCTAAGAAGATATGTATTATCGCTTTTGATAATAATTCAGGGGTTTTTTGCTCGACTAAGATTCGTAAATCCAATGCCCCTCATAGCAAATCTGATAGACCGATGGCATCATATCATCAGCGGAACAAACAATACAGCCTTATATCGACGCATAAGAACGGTCCGCTAATATCCACTGATCTCTTAGCAGATTGTGAATATCCGCAGTGCAATGGACCCTAGGATCCTCAACAGATTCCATTCATATTGCCACAACTTAACAATCTGGGAAAGAGGCGGCAAGGAGACATTCAAATTATGGACGACCGGTACGGGAACTGGACGTTACTCCTTCTAAGCAAAGGTCCTCTCGTCCTGCTGGCTTTGGCATTGTTTGGAGACAAGTCTTTTATCATCGGCATCGTCAATGGTCGCTCTCTCGATTCTCATTGCGGTCTATCTTCTTGTTCTTATCTTCCATACTATTTGGGTGCCATGGCTGTTCCTTCTAAGGCTGGACTGGATCCCTCATGCTAGCTATGGTGATGGCGACACACTAATATTTCTGTCGACAAGGAGCTGGTCGAGAAGGAGGAATTAATCAACATATTTACAGGGTCTGTGGGCGACACAGAGGCTGATGCCTTGTCGGGAGACTTGCTGTTGGAGCTGATGCTCCGTTAAGATGGGAGATTTTACGCGCTATGCTTTTAAAACAAAAGAGTACCGAGATGAGGAGAGAAGGAAGCAAACTATACAAACCACCGACCTCCATTGCTACGCGAACGCACAATGAAAAAAGCAAACAAAGAAAGAAGTAAACAAAGAAACAATCTCAATATGGCATGTGATAGCATGTGGCAATGCAATTCATGACAGAAAGTGAGGTATTGGAAGGGTAGGAGTAATAACAACAATAAGAGACAACAACAAGAGACAGCGACAAGACACAACAAAGTAGACACTGAAATGAAAAGAGAGGAACCTTCTACCCTCAGATTATTGTTTCATCATTGGGAACAGAGAGTTATCCCTGTAGGAAGGAGATGAGAACAGAGCCCCTTTTGTTAAGCTCCTAACGGACAATGGAGAACTCAGAGAAGTACAGTCTGTATCCGCAGAGGTCAGAGGGAGAGTGCTTCTGCCGTAACATGCTTCGTGCCATTAGACCAGGACCGAAGCCCCAACCTAGTTTCAGCCTTCAACGAGCCGCAGCAAAGTTCCAATCAGAATCCTCAGGATTTCCCTTCACTAGACAGCAGCAGACGTATGTTGAATACAAATCTGGAGCTGGCAAAAGTTCAAAAAATAAAAGGGTACTCAACAGGAACACGATGTGCAATGTGGGCCCGGAGCGTTAGAGAAGAAAGAAAGAAGAAGAGGGAGAGGGGGAGGGGGCAGGTATTTATACCCTCCCAGTGGCTTAAGGTAAATGGGAAACTGGGGTTGGTGACGGTTTTTGACCAAAAGGGAAGGCACCTGATCGGGGACGAGATAGCACGTATGAAGAGTCATGGACCACTATCTGCTCCTCTATCACCCTCGCATTACGAACTGCAACCTATATGTACCCTAGAGCTCGTACAGCGGATGATCAAGGATTTTTCACTTAATTCATGCCATGCGCCACGGTGGTGCTAGAGGCTATGATCATGAGGATTATATTATCATTTTCCTGGTCTATACATACATGCTGCTTCATATATATGCTATGATGCAGGGGAGCTACCAGACTAAGTCTGTAGCTATAAAAGAGTCAAGCTGAACTCATGGGGTATCAAAGGAAAAGAAAGGCAATATATGTATGAAGACATGTCGTGAAGTCGTAGAGAGATGTCGACTCTAGCCAGCTTCACATCAGGGAAGAAGGATATTCGTCTGAACTTCCTCCAACGTCTGGATCCAACCGCCAGGAAAGGAGCGTCTCTTGAGCCAGACTCCTTCTAGGGTCTCGAGTGCTTTGTCGACGTTCTAGATTATGAGATATTAGCATTCGGACCCGCCTCTTGATGAAGTTAATTTGTGACATACCCTGAAACCAAACCGCTTCAACTCCTGCATGGTTTGGCGAACAAATTTCTGTTCGGGCTCACTCCGAGTCTCCTGCCCGGCAATGAAAAGCGGCCATAGAAAAGCCAAGTGGCCCACATCTTTCGGCAACTTCTGAGCTAGTAGAAGAATCCGACTAACAAGCATGTCCATATACGTCCACTCAGTGATCCAACCGACACGCCCAGCTCCAGCGATCTGAAGTAGATGAACGAATGTCGCCTTCTCGTATGCTTCAATGCAACCCGCATACTCAAGAACGTCAGGATACGGATACAGAGAAAGGCTCTCATCATCCAGCTCGGCGGGCAGCTGTAGACAGGGCGGGGTCGTAACACGCCATACAACCAGCTGGTTGAAGATGTCTTTATACTTCGCATCTGACTGGTCGGTTGTCATCCACGTTTTCTTGTCCGATGCAAATGTACTGATAGCTGCTTGCACCTCCATTAAGCTGGACCATGCCTGCCGCAGCTCGACCAGACGTGGGTTGTCCGGGATCGTTGACAATAGACTTGGCGTCCCGAGATTGTATTCCCACCCTCCACCCATGGTATTCCAGTAATTACCCTCGACCACAGTCCCGCCGGGAGTCGCGCATGAACCTGCCACATCGAGATATGAGAGTAGGGAGACGAGGAATGGGCGGAGCGGGTGGTTCGTCTCGGCGACGCGTTGTACTTCACGTGCCGAGTCGCCGGGTTGCGGATAGAAGAGGAGGTTGTAGATTTCGCGAGCTCCTTTGAGATGTACTGCCCAGTTGTTGTGTTGGGAATCCATCATCTGCAGGAATATTAGTCAATTGTTCATGGCTGGTAGATATAGAGGGGAAACGAACCTCGAATAGGGAAAGTAATAGGCACGTCGCGAAATCCGTTAATCCAAGCTGCTGGCTGGGGTCTGAGTATCGTGCACGAAAACCCTTCACTACCACGCCGTATTTGCCCATTGCCTGCTGGAAATGTCTATTCCGCTGCGATCCCACCGATGTGTTTGCGAGATGTAATGCGCCCAATGCCTGCATCGCATTGGCCATTGTTGGAGACGACCGGGCGAAATCCGGGAAATGTGTGCGGTAGGGATTGGCATTGTGAGGGGTGTTGTAGATGATCAGGAATGTTGATACCTGATCCGCAAAATAAGTGAGATAACGCTCTTCGGTGCGCTGGATCGATTTCGCGATACTGATCGAGGTAACAGGATGCTGGAAGCGGAACTTCGTTGGGTGTGGCAGCGTTGTGGGGGCGACCATAGCCTTGCAGACCGCATTGCCAACATCTTCCCTCTCCTCTAAGGGGGAGACTGCAGGAGCGTCGCTTGACTCTGGGCTGGAGGTCGAATTGTTGTTCTGTGTCTTCGGTGCCCTGGATGACTCTGGCGGTGAATCCGTCGGTGAATCCGTCGGTGTCTGAGAGGGCCCGTAGACCTTGAACGTCATCCGCCCTTGAGCGCCATCGCACTCGTGTCCAAGACGGACACAGTTATTACAGGCCGGAGATGCCTCGTCGCAACGAACATGGCGGCGGCGACAGGTGGAACAGCCTGTGAATCCTCGGTGATGCCATCGGCGGACTCGTTTTGGGGGTTCGGTCGGTGGTGTATGTGACGTGTCCGACAACGGTGCACCCTCCCTGCGTGTCTCCATCGGGCGCGAAACTCGAAAGTAGGATATTGTTCAGACATGGACACTTAGAATGAAGGCTAATTGACATGAATCATGATGGATGTTATAAGGAGAATCCAACCTTGGAAGTATCTGGGTTTGGAGGGGCGCTGAACGGCAAAACGCATCAGCTCTTGGCCAATGGCTTTTCATTTTTCTATATTAGAGTGTTTCAACCAAGCACATTTATACCGGTTTTCTTGGCCCTTAAAAGCTCTTGGCTCGACTCTAGCGTCAAGGCATGTGCAGGAGCTGAACATAGCGCTGTGCTATTCTAGTTGGCTGTTTTGAAGATACTACAGAATCAAAGTGGAACTCGATTCGTCTAGCTCCAATCTAGACCAATACATAACGTAACCAGCTATTGAGGAATCCCATCCTTTTAGGGGCTGTTTGTGTATGTCTAATACTGGTTACTCCGTATAGGCATCGAACTTGAGAGTCAGTTTCAAACCTAATTGAGAATACAGACTCACTTACAATGCACTGTTCAAAGGGCACGCTGGAGTTCAGAATGGCCCCCATGGCCGCCCGGGCAATCGTCAGTGGTACCCCGATATGCACTGCCTGCTGCTCTGCCTGTTGGAGGACGGCCTCATTGCGCGAGGGAACGTTCACAGAAGCCCGGGTGGATTTGAAACGAGTTGCCTCACGGACGTATGGCGGCTCTATATGAGTTAATGTGTTAATGTCAATGTCGTAAATAAACATTCTAAGTCCTGCTCAGGTACGGAGGTCGGAGTACAAACCGCCGATTTAGGAGCTGAAGTATTTGATCGTCGATATCATCCAGCGCGGTTCGGATCTCATCCAAAGTGTTACAGCACGTAGTTAACGTGCCATTTAATGACGAAAAATAGACACTCGGAGTACCCCATGGCACAGGCCGATGGTCTGCTGAAGGTGCTGAAATCACATTTGAACCATAGCAGTTCGTATTGGCATTGGCATTGGCATTGGCTTTGGCTGTTGAACCAATAGCAGTGGAAAGGGTTAGAAACCCCAAAAGTACCTGGAAAATCATGATAACAAGTTGTTGTAAAGAACTTTCAGGGTAATAATAACAATAATGACAACCCCTCGTTGATCGCCTGCCCTAAGGGGTTATGATCATCATGGGATGTTCATCAATACGATATTTCACCAAAGATATACTTCGCCAACCAATGCGGGGAAGGTAACGGATTTCACTCCGAGCTTCGTGCCGAAACCCCTCTTCGGCTGTTTGGAACTTATTTAAAAGCTCTTGCTTCTTTAATCTGACTTCTACTGTCAATTCTCCTATACCAAGATGTCCCAAGGTTCAAGACTCCAAGGCAAGGTTGCCATCGTCACCGGTAAGACTGTTATTCCAAACCACTCCGTTGCGGATGCTAATATCCTCCTTTTAGGAGGAGGTAATGGATTCGGCGCAGCTATCGCTCGACGATTCGGCGAAGAGGGTGCCAAAGTGATCGTTACCGATATCAACGTTGAGGGCGGCGAGAAAGTCGCCTCGCAGAATCCTTCCAACCTCATCTTTCAGCGCCAAGATGTCACACAAGAAGCGGACTGGAATATGGTGTTGGATTTGGCATTCTCCAAGTTCGGGCGAGTGGATGTGTTGGTGAACAATGCGGGCACTAGCTATCGCAACAAGGTGAGTTTAACATATTGTACGAGGGAACCTCGCTAATTTCCTTTAGCCGACAGCAGAGGTCACAGAGGAAGAGTGGGAGCGTGTGTTTAAAGTCAATGTGAAGAGCATTTATCTTTCTACAAAGGCCCTGATGCCGCGTTTCATCGATCAAGGCCAGGGTGGGTCGGTGATCAACATCTCCTCCACGGGAGCAAGTCGACCACGGCCTGGATTGGTTTGGTATAATGCCACCAAGGGGGCAGTCACTAATGTGAGTGAATGTTGGGACTGTAGATGAAAATGATTAATGAATTACTAACAATCCATACAGGCGACCAAAGGTCTTGCCGCGGAGTACGGTCCCCACAATATCCGATTCAACACTGTCGCTCCTCTTCTTTCTGGTACTGGACTGTTTTCCATGTTCACTGGCATGGAAGATACCCCTAAGAACCGAGAGAAGTTCATCGGAAATGTGCCATTGGGCCGACTCACTGATGTGGATGATATCGCCAACATGTGCCTGTACCTGGCCAGTGACGAGGCTCGTTTTATCAATGGCACTGAGATGGTAGTGGATGGTGGAAAGTGTGTTTAGATTTTCGAGATCAGACAAATCAAAGTCACAAATTAATTTCTCTATCCCGATTTACCCCGCAGAAACGTGGGGTATCACGCCATGGCTCATTCTATCTCCAGGGCTGCCAACATAACTTACATCCCCACTGTCGCCACTGATCTGAGCCCAAAAATGACATCCAACTTCAAATCAATCCCAGTCATCGACCTATCCCTCGCCAACTCGCCCTTAACCCGGCCTAAGCTTCTCCAAGAACTCCACCACGCCCTCACATGCATTGGTTTTCTGTATATCACGAATCACGATGTTCCACAAGACGTAATTTCAGACCTGAAAGATGCCCTCCCTAAACTTTTTGCCCTCGATCCGGCGGAAAAGGAAGAAGTGGCTTTACACAACTCCCCTCACTTTTTGGGATACAGCCAAGTAGGTTCAGAAACAACAGCTGGAGTCGCAGATAAACGCGAACAGTTCGAGTTTGCAACCGAGCTGCCAGACCTATGGCGCGCGGGTCTTCCTCTTTATGAAAGGTTGAAAGGACCGAACCAGGTACAACCTCCTTTACTCGGCTCATCAGTCATCTAGCTCCAAAGTTATGCTGATAAAAAGTAACAGTGGCCGTCACAAGACCTCTCTCTTCGGAGCGTCATCGAGAGATATATTCATGAATTAACAAACCTCAGCGAGCGATTCTTACGCTTGGTCGCCGAGACACTCTCCCTGGACCCCAAGACTCTATTCTCATTCCTCTCGGAACAGCACCGTCTCAAGCTAGTCCATTATCCCGCCTCAGATCCTGTTTCTGATCCCAATATCCAAGGTGTGGGTCCTCACAAAGATTCCTCTGGGTGGTGGACGTTTCTTCTCCAAGCATCGCCCCCAACCGTGAAGGGCTTACAGGCTCTCAACAAGAGAGGTGAATGGATAGATGTTCCTATTATTGAAGATACGTTTGTTGTGAATATAGGGCAGGCTTTCGAGGTGGTTACTCATGGTGTGTGTAAAGCGACGACGCATCGTGTGTTGTCAGGTCCGTCGGAGAGGTACAGTGTGCCCTTTTTCCAGGGTGTGCGGGGAAGTCTGACCAAGGAAGAGGCGGTTGGGACTCTAAGGAATCATTTTGTCATGCAAAATATGGCGCTGGAGGCATCTGAGGGTGCGAGTGTTGACTCGGCCTTTTTGAGGGGCAGGTATGATACTTGGGGGGAGTCGCAATTGAGGACAAAGATTCGGAGTCATCGTGATGTAGGGCGTATTTTTTATGCAGATGTTTTTCATGATTATGTCAATGACGATAGTTGAAATCAAAGATTAAATGAGAAAGTCGGCCAGCTGGTGATCGGACGGTTCACCATATATATTGCAATACTGTCAAACAGAAAAATGAGTGATCGCGTTAGAGTAACACTCCCGCATCGGGATATTCCAACTACATGATAGGAGGTTAGATCATATTTGGATCCACTCAATTACTACTTGGGTTGACTAGCACTTGCTCTCAAGTGCTCCCAACTGCTATAATTATGTACAAACTGCTAATCGCGACATCTAAATCAGAAGAATCCACCTAAACATATAAATCATATGACGCGCAATTTGAATCAATCCTCTGAAAATCTGGAGCCAAATCCCTCACTCGTGGTCACTCGAGGACTCGATTTTAGAATTTCCCTGTTCAATAGTCAACACCGTTGGAATAGCAACCAACAGGCTACCGGCAGTTAGACCCCAGTTCATAGCAAACTGAGTCATGGCACTGACTCCCTCGGCGTTGATTCTCCAGGCCATCGCACCACCTGCTGGCTTCAATGCCGAATAAGCCCCAACAATGACAGCATTTACCACAGGGTCGCGGGAGCGAGCCCCCATAATCCAGTAGCAGAATGATTGCCAGAATGAATCATAGGCGCCATAAAAGAAATAGAGAAACATTGGCCCGAGGTATTCACTTCCCGCTTTGTAATCGATATCTTGCTTCAGACCTTGTCGTAAACGCTCGGTATCCCAGACTTGGAAACGGTAGCCTCCGCCCCAGATCGCCATCCCGGTGACGAATAGTATAGACCAGCCAATCTTGGCCCGCGTGCGACGATTGACAATTTGGAGGTCCAGCATGAAACCCATCAGAAGCCCACCTGCCATTTGTGCGATCCAGTATAGGGCTCCATTGAGAGCGCGTGTACGGAGGTTGAATGTCATGCCATTGACAGCGTTCTGTTGATAGGAATAGAAAACGTTTGCAGTGTAGAACATGGGATAGAGGCACATGTTCTTCCAGTTGAAGACTGTACGCAGTGTCTCCATCACAGTTCTTTTGAGGTTCGTCCAGTTGACAGCCTTAGACTCTTGAGTGATGCGATTGCCGTGGTAGTGTCCAGAAAGATTTTCGGTTGAGCAGACAAACACCGATAAAAGCCATCCAAAGAGCATGACAACAATGTAGGCCACGTATGTCGAGTCTGTCACCGTGCCGGATTTTGAGTTGTAGTTGAGACCAAAACTGGCCAGCGAGCCAATGGTTGCACCGAGGTTGAATATCACCCAAAAGACCCCAATGGCTCTGCCACGCGTATTATCATTCGTATAGGTGACCACGATGGTTCCTTGCGCAACCCAAAAGAAGGCCGCTCCCAAACCAAGAATCGCGCCGGCTGCAATCACAAAAGGACCGCCATTCTTCCTCCGGTCGGAATCCAATAGTGATCCGGCATAGAGAGCATAGGTCCATCCGCCGATGAGGAGGCATACACGTGGCCCCAGGTACTTGTAAAAGGAGCCCGCCAAAAGCAGTGCTGCTCCTGCCGTGCATGCATGAGTTGCGACGTTGGCGTTGGCGGAGATTGTGCTGTCGACTTGGCCAGAGCCTCCCATTCCAGTGAGGGCATTATACATTCCAGGATTGCAGAAGGAAATCACTGAAACAAGGCCGATCTGAAACCAAGGTTCATGATAGATCCTAGTGACAAAGTTTTTGTGCACTCGTGGATAAACGACTTCGGGGTCATCGTTGTGCGGAGAAACGCTGTCTTCTACCGACTTGGTGGCCATGATGGGATAGGTAGACTCGAGATAGATATCTTGGGACTGAACATGTCAAGCGTGGGCATTTCCTAGATAAGTATATATAGACATAGAGAATGTGACTCTAATCTGTTCCAGACTTTGAACTATGGTGTGCTGGGCCCGCAATTTTGAATAATCGGATCTCGCGCACCGAGATCCGTTCTTCACGGAAGTGACCGAGATACGGAGACACACTTAGACGGCATTGATTTGATTTTCTACATAAAAGCGTCGCTTGAAATCTCGGTTGCGTGACCCGAAAACTTTTTGCTCACGCCATGACGCCGTCAGATTGCGAACAATTGGACCACCTTCAGACCGAGGTGCGCAGTGCCTATGCACACTCAATCGATTCTCTTGATACTTTAGACCTCTGTACCGCCTTCAATCATGAGGAGTCACGAGTATCTACCTCAGTCGCGTGCTGTCTGCCGGCAATTGCATCCTTAGTTGACGAATTAGTGCCTCGGTTGCGCGCCGGTGGAAGATTGATCTACGTGGGAGCTGGCAACAGCGGCCGAGTAGCGATGATGGACTGTGCTGAGATCCCGGTCACCTTTTCAACTGATGAAGGTCAGTTTATCGCCCTCGTGGCAGGGGGTGAGCAAACAGCTACCGAAGCGCAAGAAGGAGCGGAAGATGCCGAAGAAGATGGAACTGCGCAACTCCAAGCCTTAAATCTTACTGTCAAAGACGCTGTACTCGGTATTTCAGCATCTGGTCGCACTCCGTTTGTTCTCGGGGCTCTCAAATTCGCGCTTCAAACCGGGACGCTGACGGCAAGCATTACGAACACGTCGCCGTCCGCGATTGATAGCCTCGGGGTCGATTATCCACTAGTTGCCTTACTAGGCCCCGAATTCATTGCAGGGAGTACTCGGCTCAAGGCCGGAACTGCAGCCAAGCAAATTTTGAACATGATCAGTACTTGTTCAATGATGAGGCTTGGAAAGACATATGGAGGTCTTATGGTTGACCTTCGAGTCGGAAACCACAAGCTTCAAGCCCGAGGTCGAAGAATCGTACGTCAGGTCTGCAAAGAGATTATGGTACTCTATTCGACAAGCGGACTCGTTCTTCCGACCGAGATTCTGAAGAATTTCCATCAAATACAGAACGATGATGCAGCAAACACCCTGATTGCCAGATGCGATGGAAGCGTGAAACTTGCCTGCGCCGTGGCTGTTACGGATCTTTCCCCAAGTGAAGCAAATATACAACTTCAAAGCGCCGATGGCGATTTCAGGGCTTTTATTGCAAGGCATCTAAACTCGACTTACACACACGGAAATAATGCCTCACTTGAAGGGGATGGTGATGATCCGGAATATTTCCTGTGCATTGATGGTGGAGGAACCAAATGCGCAGTATCAATTGCCACTAAATCCGGTGTTGTCTCCCGTGGCTATGCCGGGCCCTGCAATTTCAATACCGTGGCTACAGAGGAGCTTGTAGGCCAGGCCAAAAAAGCCACGCTGGAAGCTGTGAGGCTTTTACCGCGGAGGCGACATTCCCATCTCACCAATTACCCCCGATTCAGCAAATTATGGGCCGGAATTGCAGGCATACACCATGCCGAGAAGTTGAACGTACTCATCAATCGTCTTGAAAGGGCGTTTGGCGTTTCGATGGAGAGCGGTACGCTCCGATTGACAAGTGACGGCGCACTCCTTGGCGCGTGCATCGAGGGCGATGCTTCTGTTCAAACAGGCATCAGTCTCATATCAGGCACAGGTTCCGTGGCCACTGCTTTCAGAAAGGACTCCGACGGCCATGTCGTCGAAGTTCGTCGGACAGGCGGGTGGGGCCATCTTATCGGAGACGATGGAAGTGCTTTTCATATTGGCAAAAAGGCTTTGCAAGCCCTGCTGACAAGCATCGATTCCAGCGAAGCTGATGAGAGCTGCTTGAGTGAAATGGAGGGGGAAGTCCTGGCCCATTTCGGCTGCACCAAAAATGCCGTGCTGTCTCGCCTCCTTTATTCTGGAAAAAATCCCAAGAGCGACATCAGCCATCTTGCAAAGATTGTGACAAAGCTGGCTTTTCGCGACAAAGATCCTAATCTCCAGGCTCTTGAAATTCTCAATTCTGCAGCCAGCTCGCTAGCTCAACTCATTCAGCCGCTGACTGTTACCTGCCCTCCAGCTAGAAGCGTGTTGATCCTTTCTGGAGCACTAATGGGCGTGTCGAAATTTCGAGTATTGCTGCATGAGCAGCTTTCTTTAGCTCATGTTGCTGCTTTTAAGGAAGTGATTCCCATAGAGAGTGCATCTGATTTTGCTGTGGAGCTTTTGGCTGCACAAGCGGCCTAGTCCTTTGAAAGTGTTGAGTCATAGAAATTCTTTAAAATTAACATTAATAGTAACAAACAAACTTGCTCCCTGGGGTTTTCTCTTTTCAGTTTACTCTTAGTGTTCTTGGTCTGGCAAATGCTATCCACATGGATGGAGGCGAGTGGCTTACTAAGGCCTGTTTGTTTAGGAATGATTGACTTCAAAGACCTCGATTTAACGCCCTCTGGCATTTATGGCTACATAAAGAGTACATTATACCAAGTAGTGAAGAAGAGATGTTAAGCGAGGGGAATGGAAGGAACGACGGTCCTCCACTGCGAGTTCTCTCAGAAAGGGAGCTGGTAATTTGTAGACTAGAATGATTACATTCTAAAAATATACAATGCTGGCATGAATACTAAGGTCCGCCCTATGAGAAAAAATGGAGCAAACTTGGATAGGTAGAAACCCCTCTATGGAATCACTCAGCCAACCTCCAGAATTCTTTCACAGACTGGTTTCAACGCCCAGAATCTAAGTATGGAATCCGGCGCAAGCCTATTTTCCATTGGGGCATTGCGAAAAACCGCCATCCTTCAAACCCTCATGGGTCAACAACCCACAGAAGTAGACCAGCGGGTGACCATCAACACCTTCCGTCTTGCCATTGTAGTAAAACACAGCACGCTTTTTCCCGTACTTTTTGTTATTCTTACTACCGTTACAAGGTCCGTTTTTGACGAGCGGGTACTCCTGTCGGTTGTCGTCGTGTTCTGAGCAGTGAGCAGGGAAGTGCAGATCCACCTTCTTACTGCGATTGTGGTCGAACTTGTGCGGGTAGGGTTTCTCGCCGCGCTTCTCAGGGGGACTCAGAAAGCTCAGGTTTACGGCATGCTGCGCAGCAAGGTAAATATCATGGCCGGTATAAGTGCTCTTGCCGCACTTGATAGACGCGGAGGCATTGGGGCCATCCCACACTGCAAGAGATATCAGTCGGCATGGGAAGGTTTCAAGTTAGCTGGGGGATGGCGTACGTCAATGGGTGCGTTAGAAGGCTCTGCACGTTCTTGAATATCGGCAAAGTCCTCGACTGGGAGGGCGGAGGTAAGGCTCAAGAAGAGGATGGAGGCGCTTGCCAAAGTGAACTTCATTGTTGCGGTTCGAGGGTTTGAGTAGAAAAAGATTTCTGGGCGTCGTAATTGAATTGTTGATGCTAAGATGAGGTCTGAGTGTTTGTTATTCGAACCTTGGAGCCAGGAAAGGCTCTCTCTCTTATAGCTCTTGACGGAGTCAAAAGGATGAGTAAAAGTCCTACGCTAGCAGTCACGGACTTACAGAATATGGCCGTCGGAGCGTCGATCAACTTACGGAGAAGATTATATCGCTCAAGAGCTTGGACTAAGGCTACTCTATGATGCTATAATTTCCTTTTTTGGAGATTGTGCATGGGTGCAGTGCTCTGTAGATAGTTTTGTATATAGAGAATTTGACCACTCTCAACTTCGTATCCTGCCCATTTACATCTTTCGTTTGTACACAAGGCTAAGGTTCTATTAGGGGCGCCAGCCGTGAGAGGGAGAAAATCCCTATTAGTTCTCGTGGACATCTACGAAGGACCAACTTTAGTGGATATCTACGATTTTGAAGGATCGACTCTAGTGGATATCAGGGTCCAACCCCATTTTAGGGTCATCTTGACGCTTGAATTCCTGAATTAGCAACGCTTTCTACACCGCTATATACAGTGTAATGTAAATCACTCATGGGTGAATTCATTTGCAGATACTTTATGGTGTTTACACCGGCTACATTATACAGCTGTATATAGGGAGTAGTAATAGTCTAATAGATTAGGTAGGGCCCACAGCCGGACCGGGGTGCGGGCGGGCCCACGAGGCCGCAAAGCGTAGATCTTCCAGGGTTTTCTTGATTCCTTGATCCCATTTGAATCCTGGGCTTGTAAGCCATTCAAAAATATGGAGACACCTAGGCTGCACCAAAACCCAATTCAACTCAACCCACTATTGGGCTGTGTTTTGGCCATTAATGAGTTTGGCGAAGTGGTGTGATTCTTTGGAGTTCTGCTGCCACTCTTCGAAGTTGTCCAATATTGCGACCATTCCGCACTTTCTTCCCTCAAACATAACCCAACCATCACATCACCCGTCCTAGCACCCAAAGACCCAAAAATCATTCTTTCCAGAGTCATCACGCTCTATCATCATGAACACCACCATTCAAGAATTGACTTGCAAATCAGTCGAGCTCGACGGCTTCGGCTCCACCGCCGACGACGCTTGGTTCGATTACCACACTGCACCTATGGACGGCGAGGAGGAAACCGGGGCGCATCTCCATCAAATTGCGGCTTTCAAAGCGTACATAAAAGGCGACTCCACACCATCCGAGACAGCTGCCATCATGACCAAGCCTCATGATCCCGACGAGAGGACCGACATACAACGCCGCGTACTGGGCATAATCGAAGACGCGCTTTTTGAGCTGCCTGAGAGCAACACACCCGCCATCGTCAACCTGATAAAAGAAATTAGCCAGGACGGCGACCCATCCTGGCTCAAAGACTTTGGCGACTCGTGGTCAGATGAATGGAAGCAGAGCCACTGGCGTAAATCGTTGGCGGATCGGGATCCAGCCACGAGAGCGAAGAGGCGCGAGGCCCACGTGCACCTCGCTTTTGTGGAGGCATCTTGTGCAATGGCTGCTCCAGGACTGGATCCTGAAGATGGTATCTTGCCACTGAGCTGGGGCTATGAGTGCATCTCCGAGGCGCTCGAATGCCAGGATGCAGTGTGGGACTTCGAAGTACCTGCTGCGGCGGTGTGGATCAAGATAGCCGGGGAAAGACTTAGAGAGGGCGCTAGGAAAGGTGACGAGACCTGGGCGTTAGAGGAAGAGGGGAGGCTTTGGTTGCCGGGACCGATGAGCATGGATCGGTGGAATTTCTGGTTGGAAAGACTCGAGGAGATTGAGAGAATTGGTAAGGTCATCTCGACAACGGCGAGTGAAGCCGTGCGGGATGCTAGAGCCCAGGTTAAAGAGTACTTGATGGCTTAGCAAGTCTGGATTGTGGTCTTGGTGGTAAATTGCACATCGTGAGACAATCGCTGCCGAACAGCTAACAAGCTAGAATATATATTGCGAGATTTCTCATTTCCCAACCCATGCCTCCCGAGTAGTTTACCCCGTATAGTAGATAGCGAATTCTAGGCATATAGGGAGCAGTGGAAATAAAGACCTCGGGAAAGTTGCTGATATCGCTTATCGTAGATAACACCATCCTATGATAATCTTGCGTCACAAGCTGTTGCACTCGTTGAGAATTATTTGATTGACTCTGCCTTTACTTTTTATCTACATGGCGTCGGCGTCATATGGCCCGAACGCTGAACAAGTCGCAGCAAGCTGTCAAACGTGCCGCAAGCGAAAAGTTCGTTACTTCTACGAGTCTCTTTGGTGGATTCTAACAGACTCGAATAGGTAAAATGTGACCGCACGCCGGGGAGATGCCAAAGATGCCATCGATTTGGTGCAGAATGTGTTTACCAGTCTGATCCGATATCTTCTCATGCGTCGCACGTGACGCACCCAGCCGACGCCAGGACGCAGGCTGGACTACAGCGGAAACGTGCTTGGCGCTCCTGCATTCAATGCAAACGAGCCAAGGCAAAGTGCTCCGGGGGCACTGGTTGTGTTCGCTGTACTCGAAAAGCCTTGGAGTGCTCTTATGAAATGGATGGTACTCCTCGAAATCTATCCAGTCTCGAGGCAAGGTCGCACGCAGTCCCCGCCTGGCTCATGACGGCCGACTTGCCGTCAGGTGAAGGATTGAACAAGCTCGTTGAAGTATATTTTGAGCGTATCCACACTGTGCGATGTCTAGGATTCCTACACATCCCAACGTTTATGGAGAAGTTGAAGAGTTCTGACAAAACATATACCGAGGAATCTGGGCTCCTTCATGTCATGTGCGCCTTGGCCGCTCCATTTATCTACGGCGATATCTGCAGTCACGGTGATGAAGTTGATCGCGAATTGAGATTTTACGAGGCAGGAAAAGGTTGGGCAGATACTGCACTGCAGTATTCATTCCGAAACCTAGGAACCCACAAACTGGAATGCTTGGCGACAGAGGTTCTGCTTCACGAATACTATTTACGTACTGGAGAATATGCGAAAGCATTGGTGGTTTCCGGACAAATTACCAGGCACTTGCAGCTCCTTCAGCTGAACGTGGAATATGACCCCGAAGCTCATCGAAAAGCACGATTGTCTACTCCCGTCAAAGAAAGCAGGAGGAGGCTTATGTGGGCTTGCTATCTGCTCGATGCTTTCATTGAGTGTGGCATCGATCAACTTCGCCTAATCTCGGCGGAGGATATCCATGTCCAGCTGCCATGCCCTGAAGATTTGTTTATTAGAGGTTCGCCTTGCGTTACGGAAACGCTACACTCCCGCGAAGTACCTCCTGGCATGCATACGCATTTCGATGTTCCCGACTTGCGAGCATTATATATTCGTGCAATAAGGCTTCGTGCAAAGATCCTTAAGTACGTGAAAGAGTTAGAAGATGAAGTCCCATGGGAGTCCGAGTCGCAGTTCTCTCTTCTCAATACGGAGCTTCAGAATCTTGAAGCCTCCATTCCAGATGCATTGAAAATGACTACCGCAAACAAGTATCTGTATAAAGCATCAGGGCGACTCAATCTTTTTTTCGGCCTTCACATTGTACTCTCTCAAACATCCAATGATTTATATCGAATCTGTGTCTCACAGCTGGTGTTCCCCGATACCTCGACCAAGTGGATTCGAGAGCATGCACCAAAACCCTTTCTCGAGCGGTGTCACCGCACGTGCTTGGAGAAAGCAGTGTATATTTCGACCCTCTTGAAGGATCTGTGGCTGTGTCACAAGCTCAGTCTCATTGATACATTGTATGCAAACCATGTTCAAATTTGCAGCAGTGTTTTAGTGACTACTCTTCTCTCATGGGGTGACACCGCAACTTTGCTTCCCCAATTTGGCTATAAGAGTTATCGCACAATGCTGCAAGATAATCTCACAATCCTGCAGTACCTGCAAAAGTACCTCAATGTAGATGCATACTGTCAGTCTGCAAAAGAAGCCCTGAAACGGTTCAACCAGCTTTTCCCTGCAGAAGCTCCATCACAGATCCATCGTCCATTGAAGGATGGCATGATCAATGACCAAGTGGTGGCACACTCGCAGTCCTCCCTTGAGTACATTCTGAACCCTTTGGGAACATATCCTTTAGCTCGGAAGCAGACACAAGATCAGCCTACATTCAATAACACCGAGAAGGGAGAAGCCATAGTGGGTGAAGCGCTCAATATGATGACTGAACAACCGGTCACAATTGGTGATGACAATGTTGATAGTTTGGATGAGTCGGTCTCTCCTAGTCCTTTTGAATGGGGGTCGGAGACTCTGATGTTTGATTCCGCAGGATATCCCACTTTCTTAGACCAGCTTACGGGATGGGGCTCTACGAACTTGGAATGGAATGAATGGGGAAATTAAAGATGGTGTCTTCGTGTTTTTTTGTTTAATCAAGCAGTATGTTAGAGTGAATATACCCTGGCGTTGGAAACGTCCTGTTTAATATGTTCTGAATAGATTATATCTTCATCTGCTTAAACGACAAAATTCCCTAAATGCCGATTTAAAATTCCGTTGATATCGCTTCACGCTCGTGATAATGGCGAATAATGAGGTGACAAGAGATAGACCTGATTGGAGCGGCGAGATCCGTATACTGACCGGATCTCGGTCAAGCCCCATAATAAATCCGACAATGCCATTGAGCTTGGCATACAACGAAGTATAAAATGCGATGTTATGTGAGATATGAATGAAGCACTCGACCAATCCTTCCTTGATCAAAGATAAATCGACATTGGAATTCCTGGGTTACTTTCTCAATCCATCTCCTACAAACATGAAGACTCTTTTTCAACACACAGTGGGCTTAGCGCTTGCTTGTTCAACTTACGCTTCATCCTTCCATGTGTTCGACAACACAGCCTACGTGAACACGTCAATTGGCTACGGAACAACCAATATCAACTGGATTCCCGCATACGTGTGCAACCCGCTCACCGAGGGGGGAGTTCTACCATCAGCCGATGTATGGAAAGACATTGTCCTTGAATGGAACATCTATCCAAGTTACCCACTGGTGCTCGACTGCGAAGACCTCTATTTCACCGATGCTTCAACGGCAGATCTTCACTTGGAGCTCATGTCTACTCTGCAAACCTGGGCGGCCGATGTGATTCCCTCGGACCAGACCATTGGCTGGTACGGGCTATCCGGAAACACGATTTCTTCACTGTATGACCACTACCGCAGCCTGATCGCAAATCATACCAGCCATGCGTTTTTCCCGTCTGCCTACACATTTAGTGACAGCCTTTCCACTTGGAATGCGTCGTTGACGTCTGTTCTCAAGACCATCAACGCCATCGATGATTCTTTGCCCGTTTGGCCATACACTTGGCCGCAGTACCATGGCAACTATTCTTTCATTCCCTCGACGCTCTGGGAGGATGAATTGAATGCCTTGGCAAAGAATAGTAATGTGGATGGTTTCGTTATCTGGGGTGGGAAAAACCATGCCGTGTGCAATGATGCTTGCCAGAGCACTGCGGGCCAACAGCCTTGGTTGAATGTCACTCGCACCTATTTGAATACTTTGTATGGCATTTATAGTGGCGACGCGGAAGTTGAAGGGTCCCAGATTTTTGGTGGAATATAGCCTCGCTTTACTTTCGTTGAGACGTATGGCATTCACTGCCGCTGTCTATTCACATTTTGACTGTTTTTGCCTTGGACCTCTTGTATAATACTACCACAGCTATGAAGCATCTCTTTCTGTGACTTGTTCTTTTTGCAACGAACCAATTCAAGGTAGAGGGTTATGTGGGTTGAGTACTTGAAAATATCGCAATCACCAAGGCATATTCCAAATTCTCTAGGGAAAATCGATAAGCTAATAGGAAAACTGTATAGCATACTATTGTTGAGATATGAAGTTTTAGCATGTGAAATACCTTATGCGAAGATTTGGCTCAATAAACACTTCTCCTATATATAATCTAAAAGTGAGGCTTCTCATATGAACAGCCCGGGTGGTCTAGTGGTATGATTCGCGCTTAGGGTTAACCCAAAGCATTAATGCGCGAGGTCCCCGGTTCGATCCCGGGCTCGGGCCCACTCATCTTTTGTGTTTTTTTTTGCTCTTCTTACATTTTTTACATTTGATCATTTTGAATATATTCAGCAGCATACTGTCAACCTCTTCTTCATTCTTACATTCTTCCCGCTGAATCAAAGGTCTCCTGGGCTTCCTTTCCGGTTGGGCTTCGTCGAATTGAACGGCCGGAATGATAGCAAAAGGAGCATGCGCTCCAATTTGTCAGTTGGCGCGCCTATATCTAGGGGCTAAACTGGATCATCGAGCCAGCCTTATGGTACGGTGACTGTGTTGGTAACTCTCAATTCGAGCCCACAGCACTCTTAAGGCGGCTATTCCGTCACTGTTGGATGGTAAATGGAGGAACAAGATGAGGCAGAGACATGCGATTTCTTTGTATGGCTTATCATCTATTGTCTAAAACCGTCTAACCTCGACAGCAGGCTTATTCCCAACAGCAATCTCAATCTTCTCAATAACCTCATCGGTCAACTTCTCCACCACCTCCAAAGCTCGAATATTCTCAAGGACCTGCTGCGGCCTCGACGCACCCGTAATCATAGACGAGATATTCGGATTCTTCAAAACCCACGCAAGCGCCAGTTGCGCCGTTGTAACCCCAAGTTCCTCGGCGATAGGCTTCAACGCCGCAACCTGATCCAGCTGACGCTGCCAGGTATCATCACCAACAGTTTTCCGGAGACCCTGCACGTATTTATCCTCCGATTCTGCCAGCCGCGACCCAGCCGGAGGAGCAGCAACATCGTTATACTTGCCCGTCAAGACACCACCCTTCAACGGCGACCACACCGTCAGACCGAGCCCGTGAGCCTCGTACAGCCAGCGGTACTCCTTCTCCACACGCTCGCGCACGAGGAGATTATACTGCGGCTGCTCGACGACAGGGCCGACAAGGCCGAGTCTGTCGGCGATGCGCCAGGCGTCCGCGATCTCACTCGCAGTCCACTCCGACGTGCCCCAGTAGAAGGCCTTTCCGTTGTCAATGAGGTAGTTGAAGCCGCGGACTATCTCTTCCATGGGCGTGTCGCGGTCTGCGCGGTGTGCGTACACCACATCTACGTACGGCAGGTCTAGCCGCCGCAGCGAGTGGTTCATGCCCTCGATGATGTGCTTGCGGGAGAGCCCGTTGTTGTTAAGTGGTTTGTCGGGGTTGGCGCTGTTGGCTCGGCCCCAGTAGATCTGAAGATGGGTTAGTGGGAGGAGAAAACTGGATGGGAAATTGCGCTTCCTACCTTGGTGGAAATGACGAGGTCGTTTTGCTTCCAGCCGAATTTCTTGATCGCTTCTCCGAGCACAATCTCGGACTTTCCGCCGGAGTATACTTCGGCGGTATCGAAGAAATTGACGCCGGCGTCGTAGGCGACCTTCATGCATTCCAGGGCGGTTTCTGTTCTTGTTAACTTTGGTCTATTCTATCGATCGGAATGGTCGTACCATTCCCGACGTGTCCGCCATATGTGAGCCAGCTGCCCAGCGAGATAACCGAGACTTTCAGTCCGGTCCTACCAAGGGACCGGTATTGCATTTCAGGGAGAGCGTCAGACATTTTTAATTTGGTGAGATTAAGATAAATTTAGGGGATGAATTCCTTTATGTACGTTTGTAGAGGGGCCGACGGCGGGGTTACGGCGGGGTTAAGAGATGCCCTCATGTTTCCCCGATTCAGACGCCGAGAGCCTTCCGTGGCGTGCGAAAAACGGGGCGGGGTCTGTTTTAGGCTAATCAGATTGGAAACCCCTGGAAGAGTTTGACTAAGAATTGTGGTGCAATATCGGCTGACGATGACCTCAACGCAATTGGATTTGTTTACAAATCATGTAGTATCCCCCACTTTCAGTGATGACTACCTGTCAGGAAACCCCTCATTCATCTCAAAACTCGCACCCAGTTGGAGTAGCACCAGGCGAGTCAGGATAAACCGGAGTCTGCGCCGTAGAAGCACATTTGCAAAAGTCCGTTTCCAAAGGTATGTCCGAGCAAACGCTCGCCGGCTGAGTGGCACAGTACTCATTGATCGAGACGGAGGTTGTCATACCCGGTGGACAGGAGCTGTGTGGCATACAGAAAGTGTCATAGTTCGACGAGCCTGGCAGTAGGGTCATGCTGTACCATTGGTTTGCAGCACAAGAGCATGAGACAACTACAAGCAACGAGGACACACAAGTTAGCTTAGCCTCAATGCTCAATATCTGCCGAGAAGAGCAACGGATGTGTAGAACAGAAGAGAAAACCTACCGCTGATCACAGTTGATTCACCTCCCGCCAACGTGCCCTGGTACAAGGTCGACGTCGTATACGGAATACCCCCGTTCGAGCACTCGGTGGTAATCCAGGGTGCATTGAGTGGGTAACACGTCGATTGCTCCATGCAATGACCCGGATGCCAAACAGACGGGAAGAATCCCTGCGAGCACTCGATTGGAGGCTCCGGGCTGAAGCAATATGAAACTGGGGTTCCTAATGTGCAGTCTGTCGTGTACACGGCGGTTTGTCCATTCGAACACTGGAGCTCGGGGCCTGGGGTGATCACCGCTGAAGCTGCAGCCTTGGTGATCGAGGAGGTTTGATGAGGGATAGCCATTGTGGCTGAGATGAAGAGCGCGAGAAAGAGATAGAATCGGTGGAGGGGTTCCATTATGATGGTTTCACGGTTCATTGAGCAGGTATTGGAGAACTTGATATGAAACTTATGATAGGGCGATATGTGATTGCCGCGACTGAGCAAGCTGGGGCTTGTTTTATATTGGCGTAGATCCAACACCGAGGATGTCCAATTTGGGCTCTTCTAGAGATTCGGAGCACACTACCACGGTAAAGTAACAGTGGCTGAAGATTAGCTGGAGCATCAGAGACAGTGAGTTCAGCTCATACTACCTCGAAATGCATGCAACCTTCGATAAATAGCGATCACTGGGCTGAGAGAAATGTTTCAAATGCGATTATAAAAATAGTACCTTACTAAGACAAAGGGATTCTTATCCATGGAAATCCATGCCACCGTTGAAATGTCAACCGAAGTTGACTTGGTGATCCACTAAATCCACGTGATATGACGTCGTCCTCATGCCATAATCAGGCATCAAGGCATGATTTCCCGCACCAGACCCACTTGGGCTCCGCTCCCTTCCCGTGGACCCTGACCCGGATGTAGTTCCACATAAACTAGGACAATGTGACCACCCATCTGGGCAGGTGGATTAATGACTAAGCGATTAACATCTTGGCGAGTCAGCAAGTCTCCAACTCTATCTTTTACCCATCTTCGCCATGATAAGTTCGAAGGTGCGTCCGTCTGCGCAGGCTCTTTTCTGTTCAATTCGTATCTGTGCTATGCCCTACTCAACTTCTACCCCCCTGAATGCCTCAACGATGGATGACAATCGTCGACTTTTCGAGTACACATCCGGTCGATGGATGTGAGTTATTCAATGATGCGTCTATATTACGATCTTGATAGCTTATATATATTAGATACAACGAGGACATCCGTCTCACCGAACGCCACGGAGAGTTCAACGTCGATGCTTTGAAAAGCGCCGCTGCTCAGTCGCTACAGAGATGCGATACTGATGTCAAAAGTTTGTCAAAGCTTGCCGAAGGAGGCTTCAACCGCGTTCTGCAGATCACCCTGGTCGACGATACTCAGGTTCTTGCCCGGTTGCCATATCCCTCAACCGAACCAAGACAATTGGCAGTTGCCAGCGAGGTGGCGACCTTGGCTCTCCTCCGTGCTCATGGTCTCCCTGTGCCCCGCGTGTATGGCTACTCAACAGATGCTAGAAATTCGGTTGGTTCGGAGTATATCATAATGGAAAAATTGCCAGGAAAATCTCTTGGCGATTGTTGGTTTGATTTGTCAGACCAACAACGTCTCAAAGTGCTTCTACAGCTTGTAAAGCTAGAGGCAAAACTTCATTCTATCGAGCTTCCAGCGAGCGGAAGCATATATTATGGGAGAGACCTGCCTTCAGACTCACCGCGCATTGCCATACCAGACTCAGATCTCTGTATTGGTCCCAGCACAGCTCTTAAATGGTGGTTTTCTGAGCGTGCCACGCTCCGTATTGATCGCGGTCCTTGTAAGTGCCTTACAAATTTGCTTGACTCACTCCTCACCATTTGCCAGGTGTAAACGCGATCGATGTCCTCCGCAACCCTGCCTTGAAAGAACTGGCTTGGCTACGTGCATATGGCCGGCCGCGCTTCCCATTTCAACGTGCGTATCGCGAGTCCATGGAATACCGATTGTCCCTCCCCAATGACCATATTCGTTCGCTCGAAGCGTATCTCAAAATCGCTGCTGAACTGCTTCCATCAAATGAATTGCTGCGCCCTCTCCTTCGCCACCCAGATCTCCAGCCGAACAACATACTCGTCTCGGATGATCTAGACATCGTCGGATTGATTGACTGGCAACACGCATCTGTACTACCGCTCTTTCTCGCCGCTGGAATACCCAAATTCTCCCAGAACTACGACGACCCTGAATCGCTTATCTTTCGCCCACCTCCTCGTCCAGAACTAGACGGCATAGACGACGAGGGAAAGGTCGATGCCTTTCGGCGTCGCCATACCCACTTTTTCTATTTGGCCTTCACGCAGCGTTTCAATGAACCTCATTTCCACGCCATAGATCAGCCGACGAGTATGCTTACCCGCCGCATCTTTAGCCATGCCGGCGAGCCCTGGGAAGGGAATAATGTTCCTCTTCAGGCTGACCTTGTGCTCATTACCAAACTCTGGAACGAATACTCGACCGGCCCATGTCCGATATCATTCTCTTCAGCCGAGGCTGATTCCATCATGCACCTGCAAAGTATGCAAGAAGAAGTTGATCTCCAGCTCAAACTGGTCCGCAACTTCATTGGCGTCGGCGTGGACGGTTGGACCTCTCCGGACGCATATGAAGCTGCCTGTTCCCGCGCTCGTCAGATGAAGGTTGACGGCCTTGCTTCTCTCGACACGGAGTACGAACGCGAGATGACAGATCGTCACTGGCCATTTGACGACCACAACGAGGACGAGTAGAGTGACCGATCTCTACAATAGTGCAAGAATCTCTACATACAGCAGTGATAAAGTCTTGAATTGAACAAAACCGCCGTCCTCGATTGATTTAGTATCATCGGGGTTTCCGACGGCCAGCCATCGGTGTTAGAACCCAACATTAGATCGGCAACGCAACTTGGACTATCTTGGAAGTAAGTACTCTGCCAGTTTATACTGCCAGTCCCATCTGTGCCACGGGATTGTCGCACGGACTATGTACAGCGTGGCCATTGCCTACCGAACTAGGTAGGATGATCTTTGCTTCGTATGGAGATACCGAGACACCTGATGAGACTGTATGATGAAACATTGGGATTGGAAAAGATTAAGCGAGAAATGTAGTTCGACCGAGACCTACGGTGTACATTTCTAAGACTGGAGACAAAACAAAGTGGCGGACAGGGATGGAATGGAATGCGGGCCAGCAAAGAAGCTTGTATGTCTTACGTACGTAGATCCGACTATGATCGACCAATGCGGTTCAATTGTGTACCAGCCAGGACTAATTTAAAATATCATCACGAGAACGACAATATGGTCAATGTACACCCTCCTCGACTGACTGGAGGATGTCCAACAATCGGAATAGAATAAAACAAATGTACATGAATTAAAGCTCCCAGGGTACAATCCAGCAAGTTCGAGGTCCAACTTGATGTAGAAGCGTGGGGTATGTCCTCTCGGTTAAGGTGATGGAAGAACGAGGCGCTGGTACGCAGCGCATCGGGTTCCAGACACATAGGTGGACGTTACTTAAACCGAGTTGTGGCCGTGACCGTGGCGGTGGTGGAGATGTCTGCGGGCGTGGCCGGCAGCCGGTACCGGTTCCACGGCTTCTGGGACAGTGTCCTTCTTCGCGTAGGAAACGGCCGTGGAGGTCTCCACGATGGTGGTCAACGTAGTAGAGACAGTCCGGACGGCTCCAGTGCTCGTCGAGTACGCGACACCGTTTCCATCACAGATGACGTAAACATCACGTTCGAGATAGATGATCTCTTCGGTGATAGGATCGATGATGGTAGATGTGATGGCGGTCGGGGTTGGCGAGGGAGTCGAAGTAGAAGTGAAAGAAGTAGTAGCTTCGGCAGCGCTGGTCACGTGGAGGTTCTCAAGCAAGGTGTTGGAATCGATCGAAATACCACCGACGGAAACTGTGGGGAGTGAAATAGTCGGGATTGAAACGGTGGGAACTGAAACAACACTAGACGTGGTCGTAGTTGCAGCATGTTTCATCGTGGCATACTCAGGACCCCACTGGATAGCCATACCGCCAGGCAATCCGTCCTCGTGCAGTTCACAATCTTCGTTTTTGATCACGGACGGGACGGGGAACTCGCATTGACGCTGTTCGTCTTCGGTCTGAACGTCGAAGATTTCACAGTCGTTAACGATACCTGACTCGCTTGTGCAGGTATCAATGGCCTGCTGGAGAATACCATCATCCCAGGCCTGCATGAAATCACCGTGGTATCCGTATCCAGTGGGATCACCGTTGGCGAGCGCGAAATATCCATCGACGTCCTTGAATGCGTAGGTGTTCCAGATAGTCTCGTAGAAGAGTGAGACCAGGCGAGTTTCGAAACCCTCAGGGCAAGTGCCATCCATGACAAGCGACGGGTATGCGACATGAGATTTGTGGTCAGTGGAGTCGACATCCTTGCCATTCCAGCAAGAGGGGAACATCAACTCGAAGCGGACTCCGTCAGTGCAATGCTCATCGAGGTAGGTCTTGTTGGGCAAGAAGTGGCGGTAAAGGGAGGCTTCAGCGGTTGCCGAGTAGTCCAGGCAGTTGAAACCAAGGGCCTTCTGGCGCAAAGCAGCCTGTGAGGACTGAGCACCACTCCAATCGGACTTGGGAGGGTCGGGAACTGGCCAGGTGAAATTGCGCTGGTATGGGTCGCCTGCCAGCATGCGGAAGTTACTTGGGAAAGCAGTGACATTCTCTCCGTACAGAAGGTAATAGCTGATCGGTGTTAGTAGAACCCCACTACGAAAGCCAAATCAGACTTACGCAAGCATGCCTCCAACCTCATCCACCACCTCGGCGCTGCCATTGGTGTGCATGAAGTACAAAGCAGGAACCCAGTAAGCAGACTTGTCTTGAGTCACTGCGCACGAGGTGCAATCAGACTCGAGGAGCGAGGCCTCATCGGAGCTCATGCCAAAGCCTAACCATAAGTCAGCACATCCGTAGATGAAGATCCAGTCTTGACAATGCGCGCTTACTTCCACCTCCATGAATCGCGTGGGCATGAGATGAGACCGTACCCGGATCCACCAGGGGGTCCAGCCGGGCGAGACCAGTTCTTCCACGGCAAGGAAGACGCCAGAAAGCATTGGTGAGGCTTGGGAACAGCGCAAAGCAGGCCATCACAATGGAGGCCATCCGAATATCCTGCATCTTGCGATTGTTGAGCCGCGTCTACGGGCTCGGTGATTGGATAAAAAGAATGAATGAATGATCTCAGGGAAACAAGTGTAAACGACAGACTCGCCAGGAGTACCGAATCAACCGGTTAGGCGTAGAGAAAGGAGTGCGAGAGATGGGTTGTTGAGGCTAAGCAATAGGTTAGAGGGGAAGTCAAGACATTAAGCACAGCTGCATGCAGATGGCAGATTTTCAAGCCAATCCTCGTCAAACAATCTTATATTGCCCCCTTCCAGTACAAGGGAAGAGGAATGACCCCTTGCTTGCGGGCTGTGAACACACCACTTTCCCCGATCGAAGAAAAAAAAAGGTAGCAGAGGTATGCGGACTTACCGATCAAACGCGTTTCTCCTGACGTCAGTAAACAAAGATGATTTCTGACGATTTCTGTTGGCGATGCCTGAAGATGCGCCCATTTATCAGCCTCAACTCTATTTTGCTCTCGATCGACCAAAAGTACTCACTTGAATTTTTGTAAACAAATAATAAAGAACGAAACAGTAAATGAGCGACAATAAATAAGGAGTGACAAACCCTGAGATAGGGCAAAAAAAGGCGCGCTGGACGAAGAGGGGCAGGGGAACAGATTAAGGAGCAGAACACGGGGATCAAGTACTTCAGGCAGGAAACTTGGGAAAAAAAAAGCATATCCCCCTTAGCGCTTGGAGAGGGGCCTGAGTTTAATGACATGGCCAATCCCTTGAGATGCTAGATATTAGGTAGGCTGGGGGCCTCGTCACGATCAGAACAATAGCGTGCCCTGTACGCCGTCTATCCCTACTGTATTACGATTGGATATCCGAAAGTAAAATGAGCAATCCTGGGTTAATCTGGGAATGCCAGAACACGAGGGAAAAGAGAGGACTTGCCGATATCTGCGATGAAACGAACGGCGCGTTCCTGGTCTAAATCACTAGCTCCGTCTTGGTGCGTCTTGGTGACCCACGTTGGGGATGGGGATTGGTTTAAGGGGAAGATGAAACGATCCGTAAATTATGCCCCTATCCCTTATTCGATAGGGGAGATTTGCAATTAGGACGGTGTGAGTATAGGAATATAAAATATAAAATCTCCGGAGTATAAATTATAGAGAGCACATGACATGCTATCGGATATACATCAGCTTCAAACGGAGGACTCTGTACCTCTCGATACATCGTCCGACTACCTCAGACAGTAGCCGTTTGGGTTTAACAATTTATTCCTATCCCTGCAATATCCCGATCCAATCCCCCCGTACCCCGATGTCTCAGATCTCACATGTGTTGGCCGTGAAACAGCGAAGCTTTTTGGTATGATTAAAGGAGGACGGAGTAGTTCACCGGCAGTTCAGTATCCGATATTTTACCATCTGTGGAGATAACAAATTCTATTCGGATTACTAGAACGTGAGGACCGAAGTTGACGCCGAAAATGACTTAGTTATGTTGGTTGTTCCCCCTGTTTACACGAAAATGGCTCTCTGCAGCCAAATCAAGGTGGCCTCCCTTTCGCCTATCTTGGGCGCTTATAATATGTATCTTCCCTTCCGATATCCTTACGCCCTGCCATTCTCTCCTTGGATGTTGACCTCAACGTTATTGTTTCCGTGATTCTTACATTCTAAATTCCAAACCTGACCTCCCTACGGAATACTCCGTGGGCTGAGCCGTAACCCACTCAACCCGCTATGGATTCGTGGGCCCCGTTGAACCCACCAAATAGCTAGCAATAGCAAAAACGTGACTTTAAACGCGACTGCATGGTCCATACAATTCTGGATAGTATTTTAGGTATTGTATATACATGAGAAGTCAATCCTCAAATATCTATATATTTCAGCGATAAAAATCCGTAACTAACTGATTTTCCTCTTTAGGACTGCTAATCAGCTGGCTTACGTACCCTAGCACGGCCTAATTCCGAGCTAATGAACAGAATGGGTCGAAATGGGTCTATGGGCTGTGGGTTGAATTTTGGCGCAGACTAGCCTCCCCATTCTCGTTGCGCTTGGGATCCCCTGGAAGTTCCCTATTGGGAATGAAAAAACATCCGAGAAAACACAAGCCTACCAACGGAACCAGCATGATGAATACGGCTCGGACACCTTTCATTTTGGCATCCAAGATTTGGGAATCCCATTCCACCGTGTCTGGTTGTCCTCGCTCCCAGCTACTACTGTCAACCTGCTCGCGAATCGATGCCGGCAGATCAACGGGCAACGCTGATTTCATGACTGTGCTTTGAATCGCAGTTGACAAGGCCATGCCTACCACGGATCCGAGCATTCGCATCAAGTTTCGCGTGGAGGTCGCCACGGCACGGTCTTCGGGTTTGGACAGGGCTTGTAATGCAACGAGGGCTTTCTATCGGTTATTATCGAGCGCATAATATGCAGCAAATGGCAGACTTACCAGGCTGAAGGACAAAGCCGATGCCGGCCCCTTCGATGATCAGGACAATTACATACACCGCCGTGGACGTGGTTCGAGAAAAAAGGAGTTTGAGACCAGCGCCCAACGTCCACAGCGCCATTCCGCAGTACAGCACTGGAGCGTATCTTTAGGCAATC